TAGCGGCGGGACGTCGTCGGCCGTGCGGCACTTGCTGGACTTTGCACCGCGGCGTAAAACGACGCGGGGCTGTGTCAATTACAATAAAAATTTGTTATACATATATATATAATTGATGATAAGCGCGCGTCTACGGGTTGGAAAATATTGTTCTCTACGAGTGGGTGAGCGGGGTGGGGCTAATGCGTTACAACAGTATAGTCTCAAGGTCATACACGACGGGATACGCGACATAACAACACGTGCCGCGTGGTGTTACAAACTTACAAACAACAAACAAACATACAAGTGAAACTAATATAAGCGTGTTAAAAATATAATAAATATAGTTTAAAAAAACTAAAAAACACGCTTTTAAAGAACATCGAACTAAAAAGTTAAAAATAATTTTTAAAATAAGCGTAAAACAATAATGAACGAAAAGTACTAGTATTATTGTGATAAAAGCGTCGGACGCTCAATATACGAAAAATATAGCACAAAGCACCCACGCTTTTATCACAATAATACTATAATACTATAATAATGTATATTATGCATGCAGTTTTATTTTTCTAGATAATATTTTAGTTGAGTTTTTTTATGAATTTGAGAAACAAATTTGACAGATTTAATTAATGTATGTTTTTAATACCAAAACAAATGATGTCATTAAATTGTAACATAGATTAAAAACACTGAACCTAATGAAATTTTAATAGTGTCCTAGATAAAATATTTTTTATCGGGTATGTTTTTATAACAATCTAATGTAAAACCTAATAAAAATGGTGAAGGGTTTGAAAATTGTTAAATTTATTTATTTTAACACAATTTTTGGATATGTTCCGGCACAACTGCATTTTTCAGACTTACATGAAATTAAAGATTTTAAAATGTTCTATAAGATAAAAAAAAAAAAATTCCTTGTGAACAGGGCATAGGAATACTTCCAAGGCCCCTCGGCCAGTCGTAAGAAACGACTAATGAGGTTGCGTAAAATAATTGTAAAAAAGTATGTGGAGTCCTGAACGAAACTTAGGCGAATTTTCCCATCATGGATGTACGCGGAGACAACAGGCGTGGCCGATCCCAAGTAGACCAATCTACTTGACCAATTAAGGCGAAGAAAAAGATGAAGATAAGATAAAAAAAAATATTGTCCCGACTGTTCTGCTATATTTTTTTTTTGAAATTGGCAATTCAAATAAACAAATTTATAATTTTTTTTGAATAAAAATACTTTATTCAAGATATGTATTTTTGAAATTAAATATCATCACAAATAATAATAATTCAGAATTTGTTTTTATACTAAATTACGCAAAAAAATCACATCACTAAAATGAATCATTTTTTAAACATCTTAGACCAAAATATACTTTGCTAAACCAAATTTTTGCGCTGATTTCAAATCTGCAATTAGATGTATTCTATTATATTTTATTTGAGATTATTACTACTTTAGTAAAAAACAAGTATTTAAATATAAAAAAATTAATTAAAACTACAAAAAATTTGTTTTCAAATTACTATGGATGTGATTTTTATATGTTAAAAATAATCCATGCAAATTTTAAATGTCATGTTTATGTCATAAAATAAAAGTAATAATAAATATAGTTTAAAAAAACTAAAAAAACACGTTTTTAAAGCACATCGAACTAAAAAGTTAAAAATAATTATGAACAAAAAATACTAGTGTTATTGTGATAAAAGCGTCGGGCGCTGAATATACGAAAAATATGACACAAAGCACTCACGCTATATTTTTAGTTTTATGTTATGATAGTAGTTACTATTAATATCATGGTTGTAACGGGTAACGGGAATACAGGGTTCGATTCCGGGAAGGGAGTCTGAGAAACGGCTACCACATCCAAGGAAAGCAGCAGGCGCGTAAATTACTCACTTCCGGAACGTGGAGGTAGTGACGAAAAATGACGATACGGAAATCATCCCTCGTAATCGGAATGATTACTTTATATCTCTTAATTAGAATAAAGCGTGTTAATATAAAAATTTTAATAGTAATTAGAATATATATATATATACAAAGATTGCAATAAGCGTGTTAAAAATGGAATGAAGTGAATGAATGTTAAATATATAATTTGCTAATACTTTATCATGAATAAAATGGATGGTGTAACAGCTGAGTTATTTATACTCTTTTAGTTGTAATATGAAAGTAAAAAGATAAACGGTGTATGATTCTTTTATTAAAATAAAATAGTAAATAACTATATATGGTGGTGTGTCGTAAAACATAAGGTAAAATAAATAAAAATAAAAAAAAACACATCATAGTTAAACCAATACTTTCTCAACTCCGTATCATAGCTAAAATTTACGATACACACATCCAATTTTGATTAGTGATGATACAATAATTATTAACGACAATTTTTAAAGTTATTTAAGTTGAAAATTCCATTATGGTGGGAACAATAGAAGTTTATTCATGACTTATTTTAAATCTATCATTAAAAAACTACTCTATACATTAAAAATATATTAAAAAAACTGACTTTAATTTACTAACTTATTTTATAATTATGTAAAAAAAAATTGTTAAACTTGAAATATTATATCACTTAGATTCCATTCAATTTATTGGTATTTGAATATTTATAAATTTTTTTTCGTGGGATTGAATAAAATGTATAGAGCCTGATAGAGTACGAGAACCAATCCCTAGTGACACTTCGCAAACAACTGTTTTTACTAATAATTTCAACAAACCATTAGTATCTTATGCAATCAATCGAACATGTATCTATTTAGATTTAAGATACACTGTGCGATGTCCATAGTGACATGTCTCTAACTAATGTTTCACCAACAGTTTCAACCGCTCGATGTGCTAAGGTAGATTATTGAAATGCACTTATTAAATAGACACTCCGATTGAAGAATTAAAAAAAAAATAATGAAAAAAAAGCCAAATTATTATTTTTTAAATACTCTACTAATGAGAAGGTTAGATAAAAAACACTAAATGTGAAAAAGTTTCCGAGTCCGAGAGAGCACAATCGCAAAACAGTCTTGTGTAGAGACGTTTCATGACCAGATTTTTAGAAAAAATAAGGTGAAGAATGAGCCAGAAATCGGTCTTTAATAAGCCTATTTTATACTTGTTCTTTCGGTAATTTTAAAGTACAAAAATTTTACGACGCTTTACTCAAGATTTCACTCTCTGGGACTTGGTCGCTTTTTTAATTAATTTGAACTTAAAAAATTTTTCATTTTAAAAACACTTAGTCTTTTTTCTTTGAACTTGGAATATTTTTCTTAAAAATCAAATGACACTTAGAAATTTTAAAATGAATTTTGATTTGTAGAATCTTTTAATTTAGGTAAATTTTTACATTAAATAATAATGCTTTATCTTTCTTATTGCGGAAATAAATGTGAAATAGTATTTTAAATATTTAACTTTTTTTTCTAATTATTTTATAAGACTAACACAACTTTAAATTTTTATTTAATAGTAAAAATTTATTGTGAGCTTTTCTTATTGGGTAGATAGTCTTAGAGCTTTGTTTTAACGAACATCGCACCGGCAGACAACGCAGAGAAACTTACGAGTATATTCGCAGTGTTTAATTTTTGTCTTTGTGATTATTGTGCCGCATCTTATCAAGGCGCCGGGACACATTGGGCCACCCTAATATCACTTCGATAAATTTTTTACATGGATATAAATATTTTTGAATCTTGTTTTGGCCGGGCCAGAGGAATATTTAAGAAATCTTCTAATAAAATCACCTGATAAAATATATTCTCTCAAAAAATATTTATTCTATGAAGATAAAAGAATTAAATAAGGACAAATTACAAAATTATTTCTATAATAAAACTATAGTGTTTAGAATTTTTTTTTGCAAGTAAAATAGTCATAGATTTTGTGTAATTAAATCATATTATTTAAAATTTGAATCTTTTTCGCAAATAATTATATTGACTATATGACGTGTAATGTAAATCGTAGACGTAGTGCATTTAATACCAAAATCAACGTTGGATTACTTGAAATATTATTGAATTACAAAGGACATAAGGTAAATACAATTAAAACTATACTTTCAAACCTCCAACAATCTATTGTGTAATAAACTATTAATAAAAAAATTATATAAATACCAAAAAGATATTTAACTTCTTAATATTCCACTATCCCTACCATTATCANCAAACCTCCAACAATCTATTGTGTAATAAACTATTAATAAAAAAATTATATAAATACCAAAAAGATATTTAATTTCTTAATATTCCACTATCCCTACCATTATCAGCCCTCTTTATAATTTATACTCTTTTTATTTTATTTTTGGTTTTTTACAAGGAACTTCTTAAATTACTAATTACTATTCATTTCTTAAATAACATTAATGAGAATAATAATGTAAATTTATGAGCAAACCTCAACATTTCAATAAAATCACTATTATTTTGTATTAATATCGAAATAAATCATTTCAATGAAAATCAGTGATCATTTCTATGAAACTCTTGGTTGTTATGATACTACAATTAAAATATTCAGAACTATATTCCAGTCTTAGTTTCATTTATGATATCGTAAGTCGATTTTAATATGATATGCTTATTTTATTTTTTTTTGCGTGTATCTGTTACCACTTATTTTACGTGAAAACGATAATTGTAATCGTTACTTACTAGTTAGTAATAATTTAAACAATAAGAGACTATAGAAAAAATCTATTCAGATTTGAAAAAAGCGTGAAAAAAATGATTTTGAAAAGTACATTTTTGACTCTGATGAATATTCTTTGTAGACNTTTGAAAAAAGCGTGAAAAAAATTATTTTGAAAAGTATATTTTTGAATCTGATGAATATGCTTTGTAGACCAGTGTATTTATTCATAATTAACCGATAATTATCTTTTGAAAAGTTTTTCATCAAACCTTTCAATTTTTATGTACATTAGCCACAGAAGTAGTGAATTATACAATTACTTTGTAATTTTTTGTAATTTCTCCGTAAAAATTGTAATTTTTACAGTATTAAATTATTGAATATCAAATTCATACTAAATTTAATTACTATAATAAGTATTTATTCATATATTATACTTATAAATCAAATAAATACTTAGGATCGGGATATAATTAAGGAAATAGGAGTTGTTGTTTATGATATAATCTACCAATTTCTTAATAATTAACAATATCTACGAATTGGCTTGGAAGCGTTTCCTATGATAGTGATTTTAATCACTGTCAGATATCATCTATACTAATCCCAACTATCCAATGTTCATACTATACCGCTACCCCACTGTGCTACCGTTTTATTCCATAATTGTAATTTTCCGTTATATGTTATTTAAAAACTGGTACAGTTGAATTTTTGAACTTTATATAAAATTGTCTTTATATTAGTAGCAGTATAATAATTATGATGTTATCATTTAAATAAAGTTGTTCAAAACTACCAATATTTTAAGAAATTTGTTAGTTCTTGTAGTATTTAAATATATATAAAACCAATCATTATACATATTTTAGTAAATCTAAGGGACTTCATTGTCTATGTGGGTATTATAGTATATGCAACACTCAGTGTATCTCCCCACTGGGAAAAGCCGATAGGCGCTAAGGACAGGCCATTGACCTGTCTCTCAGGTGCTTTCGCCGAGGCCAGCATTTAGCCATAATTCACAAAGTCACTCCAGTGACAGTCACCACGGATCCAAGTCCCACTGTTATCCGAGTGATAAACCGGTCTGATAACGAGTGCCGGGACCGCAGACGATTGCTAGGCCATCATTTAGGGCACCCGTCCCGCCCTTGGTACGAAAAACCTACGTAGGGTTTTCGGCTATACGTCATCGATTTTCATCTCAGCAACTGCCTACCCAATTGTTGGGTACTCCGTTGGTGCACTCCGAACCGGGCGAGACAGGCTATTGGTTGCCACTCTGGTCTGTCGGAGACTCCCCGCCCAATTTAGACATATCTAAGGGACTATGTAATTTTTTTCAAACACTCACAAAGTGTTTTTATGATTTTCAATAAAATATTACATATGTCACAACACACAGATTTAGCTTCGTTTGAACAAATGTTACTTAAATTGGTAAATTAAAAATATAATAGTATAATTAAGTGTCAAATGTTAAAGAAAATAAAAAAAAAAATTACTTTTAAATTGAATTATTATTAGTAACTATATGTACTTAATATTTTTTTAAATAATTCATATATGACAAGTACAGTTTCATTTAAACAAATGTTATTTATATTCGTTAATTATATATATTATATTCATAATATATTTGATATAATTTTAATAGAATAAAAACTTTTAAATAGCAATTGGATATTACGTAAAAGTTATTTTTCTTATATTATTTTATAAGTTAAGATTAACAGAAAAATGATGTTTACGAAATATTTTTATTTCCTTTTCTTTTTAACTCTTGTGAGTAAAATTGTAACACGATGAATTAATCTTATACGATTATATTAAAAACACGTTTTTATGAATAAATGACATTTTATTTTTTGGATTTTATATTAAAAGTTTCTAAATTGAATTTTTCTATATTCATACACTAAATATTCATTTATAACCTAAGTTTATCTATAAGTCAGTGAGAGTATAGTAACATTTCAACATTGCAGATTTAAATTTTAGAAAACTCGAATACTTAAATGATTTTATATAGACTTTTTCCTGCTTTATTACTTTATGTTGCATATTTGTTATGATAAAATATTGTACTGAATATTCCATTGACTAATAATAGTTTTACAGGTAAAATCCAATAACCCCATTCTGCCGCTAAAGAAGGCCTTATTAAATTGTTTCAATTATATTAGTATGGAAAATGATAAAATCATAAGTAAGTTAACTTTTCTACATAGATTAAAATTGAACTATTTTTTTAACTTCTACTCAAGTGGTATGGCATTTTTTTATGTAAAATTCAAGTGAACATAATTTGTAAAAATTATTATTATACAAACTGAATATTTAATAAATATTAGATAAGAAGATTTATTGTAATATAATAAATAGTTATTATGTTAAGGTTTTTAATCTACTAATCATTTTTGATTACAGAATCCCCAGATGAATTTACTGATACATTTGAAAATTTTTTAATGAGAAAGAGTATAGAAATTCTACTAAGTTCTGATGAAAATATTATTACAACGGTTGCAAAGGCTATAAGCGAATATGAGTGTACAAATTGTGAATCCATAGAAAGTACCTACTCGTGTTGTATTGCATATGCTAAGAAGGTTGATCATTTAAAACATAATAACAAATATAAGAACTCGTCTTATGAATCTTTGGTTAGAGATTGGAGTGTTGGCAAAACAAAAGTTTTACCAAAGTTACTTCGAGGAAACAGCATGATTGTCGACGAACAATACGATCCGGAGGAATCATCTGAAATAGTTGTATTAGCTGATAATACTGAAGACACAGACCACATTACGATGAATAGTTACATTTAATATTTATAAATATTAATGGAGTACTAAAGAATTGTGTTAATTGTACTTTAACTAATTGAAAATATTTCATTTGTAAAAATTATATAAGACTATGAATAATAATAAATTTTCTGTTGTCTATAATATTTTAGTAAATTCTTCATGGCATTTCGATGCTGATTCCGAATCCGTCTAATTTCTTTTTCATCATATTTAGTTTTTGAAATAATTACTAATTAGAAATTATATATTAATTAAATTATTATGGAAAAGTGAAAAAAACCTTTTTTGTATTATAATTTTTCTAATGTAACTTAGTGATGTTCAAATCGAATTATGCGAATTTTGGGGCTTATCCGACAAATAATACCATTTTTAGAGACCTTGTAAGTTCAATAATAAAAATTGTTCGTTTTATCTGACAAACTTCTATAAAAATGAGTAATGTATAATTACGAAAAAATATATCCACATGTACAGTTTTATTTTTCTAAGTTATTATTTAGTATAGTTTTTTTATGAATTTGAGAAAAAAAATTGACAGATTTAATTTATCTGTATTATTAACACATAAATAAATCTATGTAATTAAACTGAAATATAGATTAAGAACACCGAAAACGAAAATAAATAATAAAATTAATAAAAAAATGATATTTTAAAATTCTTTCCTAATTTTTTTAGTTTTATAATGCTATAACTTTTTGAAAAATGTATGGATCATTATAATATTATTAAAATTTGTTTTATTTGTATTTTTCTTTTGCGCAACATACTTTTTTTCTAAATCGGATCATTTCCCTAAATACAGGGGGGTTTAAAACTTCAAAGTGCATATAGAAAACAAAATTTTTTCAACATAATTTTCAAAAATGTTACGGAAATACTGACACTATTATACATATCTTAAATTAAAACTTCTGTAATTTACATTAATATGGAAAAACGAAATTTCTGATTTTATTTTGTCTTCACGATGAAAATAGACATCAAACTTAATAAAATAAATACGATTTCTTTTTAAAACGACAATATTAAATTATTAAATATTAATTTCATACTATATTTTATTGCTATAATAAATATTATTCTTATATTACACTTATAAATCATAAAACGTGTAATCAGGATATTAATAAGGAAATAGGAGATCATGTTGTTTTTGGAATAATCCACCAATTTCTTAAAATTAAATATTATCTACAGATTTCCATCAAAGCGCTTTTTATGATAGTGATTTTAATCACTGTCCGATATCATCTATACTCCACGTCTGCATTAACGAGTACTTGCACCGTATTCGTAAAGCAGCCGCGCCGACGTGCGACCACTGCTCGGATCGCCTGGGAGAGGCTGACGCCGCTCTGCACACTTATTCCGGTGCGAGGCGTGGACCTAGGAGCGGGACTCTTTAGAGTCCTAACTAGGGTCCACGTTCCGAGTCGGGTCCATGGTGGACTTGATGTTGGTTAGCCGGGAAGCGTGGTTGCTCGTCCAGGCGTTCGCTGAATCCGTTCTGAAAACGAAGGAGGAAGCGGAACACCTGAGACAGAGACAGCCACGCCGGCCGGCACAGGAGGACCTAAGGCGCTGGTTTAGGCCGATGCCTTAGGTTCTTATTTTTGTGTTTTGTTTTGTGAGTTATTTTGCCAACCTTCCCTAATGGTTCCCAGTCTGGGATCCAGCTAATGGGAGAGGACCACAACACGTTGTGAATCAGCTCTTGATTGTTTTCGGGCTTGTTCACAACATGGTGGTGTGAATTATTGGGACGGCGTGGGCGCACTGATGTAATGCCTAACGACAGTTCCAGGGCAGCTCACAATAAGCCAGTCGTGAAAAAAAAAAGATATCATTTATACTGGACCCAAATATGCTACGTCCCCACTGTGCTATCGTTTTTTTAAAATTTTATAATGATATAACTTATTGAAAATTCTATGGAGTAATACAATTTTTTTATGAGACATAATATTTATATACCTCTTTTATTTGAGATACTTTTAGCTTCGATGCGAAGCTGAGAAGGTATTAGTTTTACTAAGATGTGTTTTTTTTTTTTTGACTATTACCACTTTTCCTCAGCTCTCACCGAACCGATTTCTTTCAACAATACGTCAAAAGATCACAAATCGTATCTAGTCGAAGACATTACCCTTAAAAGTTGAAAAAAATTCCCTCGTTCCCCGTAAATGGGGGAAACCTCCAAAAAAATTACAAATTTAAAAATCGCTAATTTTCGATATTTTTTCAATTTTTTTTACTTAAAAGTGCCATAACTTTTTCAAAAATGAACATATCAATATAATTCTTTTTTTTATAGATGCACAATGTCATTACCTATCATTTGGTATATTTTTTTTGTAAATCTGACACTTAACCAGCCCACAGGGGGGGATTTAAAATGACAACTTTTTCACAAAAAATTAACTTTTTCAACTTAACTTTTGAAAATGTTCCGGAAGGTCTGACACTTTTATATATATCTTAAATTAAAGCTTATGTAATATACTTTAATTTGAAAAAAAAAAATTTGACCTCTGGACTTGTCTTCGTGGTGAAAGTTGACATCAAAGTTAATAAAAAATTACGATTTTTGTAAAATAATTTTTTTTTATATTTTTAACTTAATAATGCTCTAACTTTTTCAAAAATGAACATATCAATATAATTTTTTTTTATATAGATGCTTGATGTCTTTACTTATCATTTGGTATATTTTTTTTGTAAATCTGACACTTAACCTGCCCACAGGGGGGGATTTAAAATGACAACTTTTTCACAAAAAATTAACTTTTTCAACTTAACTTTTGAAAATGTTCCGGAAGGTCTGACACTTTTATATATATCTTAAATTAAAGCTAATGTAATGTACTTTAATTTGAAAAAAAAAAATTTGACCTCTGGACTTGTCTTCACGGCGAAAATGGCTACCGAATGCTATTTTCGTGTGAAAATTCTCGATTTTATTATTTATATTATATTTAACTTTATAATGCTATAACTTATTGTAAAGTTTATGGATCCACACAATTTTTTTATGAGAAATAATATTTTTTAATAAACTCTTTTTCATTCGAAATACTTTATCTTAATCGAGATATTAATAAGGAACCAGCAGATCAAGTAGCTTTTGGAATAATACACCAATTTTTTTAAAATTAAACACTATCTAAAGATTTGCATCGAAGCGTTTATTTTTGATAGTGATTTTAATCACTGTCAGATATCATTATACTTGATCCAACAATGCCACGTCACTACTGTGCCGCGACCCCACTGTGATGAGTTTTTTTTAATGTTACTTTTTTTTTAGTGGTTTTATCGGCTCAATTAAGTGCCATAGCGGCCTTTCTCGAAGGAGGAGGCTTTCCTAGCCATTTATACTCTGAGACGCGTGGTTAGTCCGTTAGAGGAGGATGGTCTCTCCAACTACCGAACAGATCAATCGGCAAATAAAGTCGCCCTTCACCGCGTTTACACCCGTCAATACGCATCAAGCACTATCGATTGCCGAATCGACCGCACCGTACTTTTTTTTAATTTTACTATGATGTGTTTTTTTTTTTTGTCTATTACCACTTTTCCTCAGCTCTCACCGAACTTATTTCTTTCAACAATACGTCAAAAGATCACAAATCGTATCTAGTCGAAGACATTACCCTCAAAAATTAAAAAAATTCCCTCGTTCCTTGTAAATAGGGCAACTCTCCAAAAAAATTATAAATTTTAAAATCACTAATTTTCGACATTTTTTCAATTTTTTTTACTTAATATTGCAAATTGCAATTGGATGTATGTAACGTAAATTTTTAGCTTCGATGCAAAGCTAAGAACGTATTGGTTTTACTGTAATGTGTTTTTTTTATTTTTACTTTTCCAAAAATTAACAAATCAATATAATTTTTTTTTTTATAGATGATTGAAGTTTTTACCAATCATTTGGTATATTTTTTTTATAAATTTAACCCTTTACCTGCCCACAGGGGGAAATTTAAAATGACAACTTTTGTAACTTAACTATTGAAAGTGTTCCGGAAAGTCTGACACTTTTATAGATATCTTAAATTAAAGTTAATATAATGTATTTTATTATGAAAAAAAAAAAATTCGGACTTTATCTTGTCTTCACTGTGAAAATGGCTACCAAATGCTTTTTTTGTGTGAAAATTCTTGATTTTGTATTTTATATTTTTAACTTTATTATGCTATAACTTATTGACAAGTGTATGGAACAAGACAATTTTTTTTAGAGACATACTTTATCTTAATTACATTAATTAAGATTTGAATAATTTAATCACAACATTTTTTTAAATACTGAGAGTTATAAAAATGATACTATAATTTCTATTTAAATAATTTATTACAAAATATTGAATATACTAATTTTGATGTTTCCCATGGCAAAAAATTATGTTGGTGGTTACATGATATTGATGAATAATTTTTTTATTGATGATTGTGTTTATTTATTATTCTATGTGTTTCTTATATTTGATAAAACTTCACTTTAACCTCATACAATTTATACAAAGAACTATCATTTTAGTAGATGTATTAACTCATTTAGTTTTTAGTTATATTTCAATTAGAATTTTTGATAAATTTATTAAAATATAAAATTTTAAATTCTTATTTACATATGAATATTGGATTCATTTTGGAGTTTTTTTTTGTTCATTTTTAAGCATAATATTTTTACTGCTGACACCTAATATAACAAAGGAAATTTATCTGTGTACGTAATATGACAAATATATTAATATTTTATTTGAATGATTACTAAGATTTTTACTGTTATAAATCTAAAAAATAATTTTTCATATAAATTTAAATATTTATAAATTTGTACTTTATTTATCAATATCCAGTGTTTTTGTTTAATCATATATGAATGAATTGTTGTCCAAAAATTTGACTTTTTCAAAAATAAATTTATACTTATTGCTTTTAATAAATAGTTATATAATTATATAATATATAATATATAAATAATAATTATTAATAAACAAAGGCGTGCCAAATTTTTATTGGTTAAACGAATACTGTTATCTTAGTGTGACAGAAGGTAGTTGCTGAATGATTAGACGACACAAGGTTAATTTTTCCAGGTGGCTTCGAGCCGTTTTATTAAAACAAGAATAAAGCAAGAAAAGTGATAACGCAAAAATATAGAAGAAAAAGGAAAAAATACCAAAATAGTAATAGTACCAATTGTTGAATAATAGCGTTGAGATGGTTCTCGTCGACGGATGTCAAACTGCTCGAAAACAAAAACTGCGGTAGTGGTTCGGTTGTATTGACGGACGGTGAAAACAAAAAAAGACAGTATCGGTGTCACGAAGATGACTGACTCGACGTACTATTGCGCCGGATATTCGACGCTAGGCATTTATTGGACTTTACACCACGACGATAACGCGTGTGTGTAACGGTCCGGTTTACAGTGGTGCGGTGGCTGAGAAGAAGCTGGATACGACCGCGGGGTGTCAAACGTGTGACAACGCCGTGGCCGTGTCAAGTGATAGGATTAACTTGTTTAGATTTAGTATGTATGTAAGAAATTATCAATAATTTAGGAAAAATAGTCAACAAATGCATACTATTTAGCTACATTGTAATATACACGATTCAATCTTAAATCGGTTAATATGACACGGCCCGCGTCGCTTCGCTATACACGATGCCCCGCGACTCGTGCCAACTTTATCAGCCGTTGCCCCAGTGGCGCAACTAGAGTTCAAATCTTGGGGGTGCTACAATTACAAATCACATACACATTACATATTTACTAATTATTTACAGTAATTACTAATTAGTATTAGTTATGTAATATATAATTATAAAATATAATAAAGATTTTGTTACTTACAGTCCTTATAACAATTTCAATTGGTATATACAAATAATTTATTTACAATTGTTGTTTGAAGTATTAAGTATATTTTTGTGTTCAATTGTGCGTCGTGGTAATCTTCGTTGGTTTGCTATATGCAAGTATAAGTAGTTTAATAATTATGTCTTTTCGTATATTAAGTCGTACTATCTTTTTTATAATTTGTTTTTGATAATATTGCTACTATCAGCATACGCTTTAAAACATTAGCTAGTTTCTTCTTGTTAGAGACTAAACTCTAGTGGCTTACTTTGAAGAATTTAACCCCGAGTACTTTTTCTAATATGTCTTCTCTTGGTGCAACCAATGTAACTTCAAAAAAAGTTGCTGTCCGTTCTGGTGTTAGTACGAGATCTTCAAGTACTACTTCTAATGAAGATTTAATGCAAATTATTTTGTTCTTCAAAGATCCTAATAAATAGTTAGAATAGTTATTAAATCATTGTTTCTTTTAAAAAAATGGAAGACATAACACATAAAAAAAAAAGATGAAAATTTTGATCGATTTTTCTCTAAATAAGAATAATGAAACAACACTTCTATTCATTACCAAAAATGTTAAATATCAGTAAGAAAAATTTTTAATTTCAATTGGACTATTGTAGTGTTTGCATTGATTTCTAATGCCTTTCATAAAATCAAAGTGACGATACAGCCCCTTTGATATTCATTTAATGTTATTCATTATTATCAAAAGTGGGAACAAGACAATCGTGGGTCGTTATCACATGTAATAATATTTTTAATAGATGAAATTTCAACTTAAGCAGTGATTTCTAATTCTATTTATTAATTTCCTTTTTTGTTATCATATTATCATTTTAAAAAAAATTGTTCAAAACTACTGATATTTTCAGAAAGTTGTTAGTGCTTGTAGTATTTAAATATATATAAATTTATAAATTAATACATATCAATTAAATTACTATTTGTTACTGTTGGCGCTGCGAACATGATCTGCCCAAACAGGTTTTACCTTATGAGTAGTGCACAGCAGCTTTCAAAATTATATGTATTATTCGTTCATAGAAGTATCTTCTTCGCAAATCGTGATTCGTATGTGTCATAGTTAATTTGTTTTGAAGTGTTTCAATATCCCAAATACTTGAAACTTTCCACCTCTCCAATCACGTCCTAGCCTCTTGTCACTGGTCTCCTTATTTCACCTACCTCGTGTTTTCCATTATCAAACTCGTACTCCAAAAACTCTGTTGTTCCTATATATTCTTAAACCCATTTCTTCAAGAGCTGATCTCCACGCCTCTAGCCTTTGATTAATTTTCTCCCTATTTTCTCCTATTAACACTACATTGTCAGCAAACAACATGCACCACAGAACCTCTCCTTGTATTTCTCTAGTAATTTCATCCATCACTATAGAGAATAACATGAATGACAGACAAAATCTTAATTAATCTACTAGAGAGAATCAAGTCAGATGAAACGGTTTAATGAATGTATAATTTGAATTAATACAATACAATTTGCTATAATTTTTATTTAATTATTTTATATAAATTTGTTTAATTATTTAAGTTACTAACATTAGAGTAAATAATTAATGGGTTTATTTGAAATTAAGTTTGGCAATATAAAACCCCAAAAGAGACATACATTTCATAAATTTTATTTGAATTTCATATATTTTAGTTTTCATTTTATTTATTTTAATTTTAACTTTCTAAAGAACCATTAAAGATGAAGCCTAACTCGGCAAATTGTCGTCCGTGTAGAAGCGTTACACAATTATAATACAAATTTTAAATATATCTAAGAAACTTTGTAACTTTTTTCAAACATCCACAATGTCTATTTATGAACTTAATATACTAATTAATTGTAAACATTATAATTAATTTAGGGAGGGGGTGTTATAAACATCACTAACAAAAAAAAAATACATTCATTCGTACAGCAAATTGTTTTACCACTAACATTATTAATAGAAATATTATAAGTCGGTAGATTTACTTTTAAATTCATTTAAGAAAAATTTCAACCTCGGGATGACCTTATATACGCTATCTCTAGCATAATTTTATGTTATCTTAGGCTACAACGGTGACCTGAAGTAATGCCCAACGGCAGTTCCAGGGCGGCCCACAGTAATGCCGACCGCGTTATAAAAAAAAAGGCTACAACAGTGAAAAGTTAAAAGTGAAATACTTTACTAATCATACAATATAAATAAAATAAATTAGCATCAATCGTTTATTAATAATTGTAATAATATAATTAAGTTAAGTAAAAAAATATTTAAAATTAAACAACTTTAAAATTGATTTATAGTTAGTAATAATTTATTTCCAATAATTTTTAAAATATTATATATATATATTATAAGCACAGATTTAGCTATCCTTGAACAAATGTTATTTTTATTGGTAAATAACAATTATAATAATATAATTAAGTACCTAATGTTAAAGAATATTTAAATTAAAATTACTTTTAAATTGATTTATTTTTAGTAGAAATGTATTTCTAATAAATTTTAAAATATTTCATATTTACAAATACAGATTTTGCTGCATTTGAATAAATATTATTTATATTTATAATTTATTTAATATAATTTTAAAAGGATAAAATATTTTAAATAGTAATTGGCAGACTATTACGTTAAATATAATTTTCTAATATAATTTTAAGTTAAGATCGACAAAAAAATGATGTTAATGAAAATTTTTACTCTCTTTTTCTTTTTAATTCTTGTGAGTCAAATTGTTAAATGATAAATAAATATTATTAATTATATTAAAAATATGATTTTGTGAATAAATGTCATTTTATTTTACGATTTTTATTTAAAAAGTTTCTAAATTGAATTTTTCTATATTCATACACCAAATATATTCATTTAAAACCTAAATTAATTCATTAGTCAGTTATAGTATAGTAATATAACAGTATAATAACTTTTCAAAATTACAGTTTTAATTTTTAGAAAACTCGAAAAATTTATTTATTTGAACTAGACTGTTTAATAGTTTTTTTTCATTTTCTTACTTTATGAAACATATCTTTAATGATAAAAATATTGCAATAAATAATCCATTAACTAATAATATTTTATATGCGAGTTCTATGTAAAAGTTTTTATATTGCATTTTTCTAAATTCATTTATTAACTAATTTTAATCAGTAGTCAGTGAAAGCATATAGGGTATCCCACCTTGATTTACTAATTTGACTACATAAAATAATATTAAAATTAGTAAATTACAGTAGGACACTTTGTATAGCATTGCAAATTTTCAACATTACAATCATAAGTTTTAGAAAGCTTGGAAAAATTTACTAGTTTGATATAGACCTTTTCGTACTTTTTCGGTTTGCTTACTTTATATTACATATTTGTAATGATAAAAAATATATCATTGAATATTCTATTGACTAATAATTGTTTTACAGGTAAAATCCTTAGACCTAATGCTACCGATAAAGCAAGACTTATTAAATTGTTTCGATAAATATGGTTTAGGAAATGATCAAATCATAGATATGAGTAAGTAAACTTTTCTACATTGATAATAATTGAACAATATTTTTATCGTCTACTCATATATTATGCCGACGTTTTACATAAAATTTAAGAGAACATTTCATCTGTAAGTTTTAATTTTAATCAAATTTAATATTTTTATCTTCGTGTTCAAACTAAATTCATTGGATTATATTTATAAATAATTTATTACGATTTTTAACCTTGATCATTACTGAGAAGGTATTAATTTTATTTAGTCGTGTTTTTTTTTTTACTTTGAAAATTCAATAATTATTAAAATTATTGGAAGGTTGTTTAATCATTTTTTCAAAAAAATTTTAATCACAATAATTCAAAATATTTTGGGATAATGCTATATTTTTAAGATTATTAAAAACTATAAAGCAAATACAACATAATAAAATAATTGGATCCAGATATGATTAATGCATTCATTGTTATTCTTTATTATTTTTTAACTATTATATTAAAATTTGTATTCATTTAAACATTTTTGCTTACAGATATTAAAAATAAATTTACTCCTAATTTTGAAAATTTATTATTAGAATGGAATACAGAAATTATATACAGTGAGGATGAAAACAATAGATCAAACATTGGGTTTGCTATGGCCAATGATGTTTGTTTAACATTATTAGACAAGGGAATTGATAGTGATATACATTATAAAAGATGCTTGGAATTAGCAAAAGAGTGTTGTAAAATATACGTAGAAAAAGTTGATACTTTAAACATGACTGTGGATTCGGGAGAAATGGTTATAATACCAGACAATCCTTATGAACATTTAGTTAAAGATAGGAGTGAAGAAAAAAAGGTTTTATCCACGTTACTTGAAGAAGATGGCATGATTGTTGAAAACGATTGCAAACCTGTGGAAGGTGCTCAAATAGTTGTATTGTCCGAAGATACCAAAGATGTAGATTTCATTAAGATGAAATTATATATTTAAGGTTTAAAAATCATAATGGAAAACTGTAGATTTGTTTTTATTGTAATTTAATTAATTAAAAATATTTAACTTGTAAAAAATTACATAGATCTATAAATAATAATAATTTTCTGTTGTCTATAATATTTAGGTAACATCTTTATAGAATTTCAACGCTGATTCCAAATTTGTCTTCAATTTTTTCGATCACAACTAGTTTTTGGAGTAATTACTAAATAGTAATTATGTATTTATTAAATTATTATAGAAACTCAATAATAATTTTTTGTTTTAACTTTTATGTTCGTTTTCACTATAAAAATAAAATAAAGTCCAAAATTTTTTTTTTATTATTTAAGTATATTATATTAGCTTATATATATATATATAAATTTCAGTGTTTCTGAAACACTTTCAAAATTTAAGTGAAAAAATTCTACTTTTTATATGGATTTTTAAGTTTTCAATCCCCTCTGGATATGTTCCGATTAAAAAAAAATTATGTCACACAAAAGAAATATATAAATAGTATTTTTTATGAAAACATTTTTCAAAACAATTTTTTCAATTTTTGAGGGTAATGTCTTTGACTAGATACAATCTGTGATCTTTTGACGTATCGTTGAAAGAAATCCGTCCAGTGATAGCTGAGAAAAAGTGGTAACAGACACAAAAAAAAAAAATAAATAAAAACACATCATAGTATTACCAATACCTTCTCAGCTTCGCATCGAAGCTAAAAGTAAAATATAAAATCGAGAATTTTAACACAAATATAGCTTGCGGTAGCCATTTTCACTACGAAGACAAAATGAGTTTGACATTTTTTTTCCATAATTAAATATATATTACTTAAACTTTAATTCTAGGTACATATAAAAATGTAAGTATTTACGGAACATTTTCAAAAGTTAAGTTGAAAAAGTTAATTTTTTGTGAAAAGTTGTCATTTTGAATTCCCTTTGTGGGCAGGTAAAATTTTATAAAAAAAAAATTATAAATATTTGGTCATTTTTAATAAATTTATAGCACTTAAAAAAATTTACATTTAATATTAACTAAAATAAAATAAAATATTTTATTACTCTAATAACCTAAATAATTAGAATTTGAATATTAAAGACTAATTTTATTATTTTAATGGAGTTTTCTTATTTATTTATAACATTTTATACAGGCAAAGCCCAAAGTATATATAACAGTCATCATAAACATCATTAATAAAAATTAGTGAGAAACAAGTAACAAAAGAAAATGTATATATACATTGATCCAAAATATAAATTAAAATAACATAAACGAGGTTTAATTAAAATAAATCGAAAGCTGGATCATTATTAGCTAACCGCATAAGGCGAATTATTGGGGCGGTGTCAAGGAAATGAGAAGGGGTAGGGTGATGAGGAATGTAGTGTTAGAACGGGAGGTGCGAAGAGGGATTTTAAATCTTAGAAGGCTAAGGAGTTGGCCAGAGTCTATTTTGTTGGATAGGAGGTTATTTAGGAAGGAGAGTTTTGAATTGTAGCGTCGATCGGCAAGGCTGGAGTTTTTATAAAAATTTAAATTATTTTTTAATTGTTTTACTCGATTAATAAATATGCTAATTTTTAATAATAATTATAATATCCATATTATATTGATTGTATATGTACATTATCTAGGATGATTTTTAAGTTGTGAGACCTTTATTTCAGCCTTGGTAGAAAGCTGAGAAATATTTTTGCGCATCAACTTTTTTTCTGAAAATGATCAATAATAATTATTTTTAAAGTGAATAAAAATATGATATAAATCAAAATCATATTGATATANATGATCAATAATAATTATTTTTAAAGTGAATAAAAATATGATATAAATCAAAATCATATTGATATATGATATATAGTATTAATATAATATTGTAAAAAGTAAGAGTTTTGTATTTTTAATTGTTAAGCTGTTCTGAGGATTTAGTCTTTAAAGAATAAGGTTTTATTAAGAAAATTTTTAGTAAGGGTGACTGGAGGAACTGTGGNATTTAGTCTTTAAAGAATAAGGTTTTATTAAGAAAATTGTTAGTAAGGGTGACTGGAGGAACTATGGTCAGTGGGTAATACCGGTCACCTCATTATCTAATAAATCAATGCATCTAAAATTATGTTGATCTTGCGTATAGATTAATAATGATAATAGAACCTTACTTTTATTAGAACAATATTATCAAAAAACGTTTTCACGTTTAAATGTATGAACATAGTTGTCAGAATTTATTTATCCTATAAAAATATTTTCAAGACATTTAATTTAAGGTAAGCAAATTATTATATATTTCTAATATATATATATATGTACGTATATAACAAATCATGAGATTATTCTATATTAAAATTATCTACCTAATAGTATATTGGTTTATCGATCAAAAATATTTTCTTATTACTTGTCAAAAGAGGAAATACTGATCAAAATTAATGGGGTTGCTATAACCCCAGAAGTAACTGCTATAGTTACTTCTGGAATGACTGGTGTTACCCCATTCTCAATTGACATGTGAAAATGCAAGTAAATTTAAAATTTCATCTTCTTCTCCTGTAGTATTCAATCTGATGATTGGTTAACAGCAACTTCCATTCTTCTTTATCACTAGCTTTCATCTTCAACTCTTGACATATATTACATTCTTTATCATCTATACTCTTACTTATATATTGCAATCTTGGTCTTCCTCTATGATTTGTTCTATCGATTATTCCTTCTAAGATTAATAACAGCAACTCGTCGTGTCTTAAATTATGATCTATTTTATTAATTCATTTCACCTTTTCTGTATACTCTTCCATATTAATTTCCTCTCAAATACCCTTTCTAAAATTTCTTCATTAGTTATTCTATCAGTCTAACATATCTTTTCCATCCTCCTGTAGCACCACATTTCTAATACCTCTATTATTTTATTTCTTTTTTTGCAATAGTCAATGTTTTGCGTCCATATAACTTGATGGTCCAGATGTACGTTTCGTCTTCTTTGTGTTTATTTTCATATGTAAATCTTTTTCTATTACCTGTTGCAATGTTCCTAAAATCTTTTTCATTTTTCGCTATTATTTCTGCAATGTCGTTCGCGAATCTAAGCATGTCTATTTTGTGTTAAGGGCAAACTGATATTGAACAAAAGTAGTCGACACAAATTAATTTCAAAACTAGCACGGTGCCATTTATTCGGGCAAGATAATACAACAATTATATAGTAACGTGCACAATCACTAAGAAAATTGAACAATAAGAAAAAAAAAAGAAATATAGCAACACATGCGTTGACGTTAAGAAACCAAAAAGAAAAGAAACGGTGCGATGGTTTTCGGCGTTTTCTCCTTACGGTGCGTGTAGGACGGTGTAACGGGATGACTCGACGTATTATTGCGGCGGATATTGGACACTAGGAATTTATTGTACTTTAAACCACGACGATAACGAGTGTGTGTAACGGTCCGGTTTACAGTAGAGTGGTAGCTGCGAAGGAGTTGACTCGACCACGGGGTGTCAAACCAACCCGCCGCTGTACTCTAAAGGCTACCTGAAATAGCGCATATGGTGTACCGTGCTTGGTCAAATATATTTAAGGCGCATAACGCAATAATAAGCCACAATACTTACATTGTGTGTTTGTTGGGGTGGATGGTAATGCTCCGCGGAGTGCGCGCAGCAGGAGGAGGGTGGAGATCTAGTCCCCGCGCATATCGCGCTTGGGATGTGGAGGGTTCTTACTGGGCCGGGGGTTCCGTCTGTGCTGAGGAGGTGGGACAGGAGAGGAACAGGTCCATCTTCATATCATGCCGTCGTCCTCCAACTCCATCGGGGTCTCCGGGTGCTCCTCCTGCGTGGTGGTGGCTGGTGTTGCTAGTGGTTGTGGACAACCATGATATTGATAGTAACTACTATCATAACATGTAACTAAAAAGTGAAAAATAAATATAGTTTAAAAAAACTAAAAAAACACGCTTTTAAAGCANAAATAAATATAGTTTAAAAAACTAAAAAAACACGCTTTTAAAGTACATCGAACTAAAAAGTTAAAAATAATTTTTAAAATAATTATGAACAAAAAATACTAGTATTATTGTGATAAAAGCGTGAGTGCTTTGTACCATATTTTTCGTATATTGAGCGCCCGACGCTTTTATCACAATAATACTAGTATTTTTTGTTCATAATTATTTTAAAAATTATTTTTAACTTTATAGTTCTATGTGCTTTAAAAGCGTGTTTTTTTAGTTTTTTTAAACTATATTTATTTTAACTCTTGGTTTTTGCTTTCTACTAGATTAGCCCGTGGGTGGTATATCGGTGTAGTCCAGGCCTCTGCTCCCATCGATTTATCGCGTCGATCATTTCTTTGGACACGAGCGCTCGGCCGTTGTCGATACTGATTACTTCCCACGGCGTCTAGGTTGGCGCTTGACTATCGGGTCTTCGGGACGCCTGTTTAAGGGCTTAGTGCACGCGCAAATATGGCACGATTTTACGTACAAGCACACGGCGTTTCTTAACCCTTTACAGTAGAACCGTAGTTTGACCGCTCGGTATATTCCTCTCCATCCGGGGTGACATGATAGGGGTCGTCGTGGTACCACAAAATTATATGTTGAACTTTGTCGGTGGGGACGACTACCGTTGTGTCAGTGCCTATACGAATACGTAAAATACCGTCCAATAAAAAAAAATCGTCCTTATTTTCCACGTACGGTTTTTCGTTCGCTATGGTGAGTTGCGCGTTTAATTTTTTTATGATCGAAGAGAGAAACGGTTTGTTGTTCTGCCACACTCGTGCCTCCCGTGAACGGTCTGTCACAGATCGCGTCGTTCGCCTCGGTAATGGAGTAGATATTATCGAGAGTGGTGGTGAGTGCGGGCGGACTAGACATTGGCGCGCCTAACAAATTGTCATCCGAAGCGTCTTCGTCAACAGGGGGTCCGTCCGTTGGGTGACGTGATAACATGTCGGGCGCTTCGTTGTATTTGCCCAGCACGTGTGTCGTGGTGAAATTTAGGTTACCCAGGTGTAGCGCCCAGCGGGTCAACTTACTGTTTGTACCCTTTACATTGTGCAGATAAGTCAGCGCTGAATTATCTGTGTACAATTCGAAAGGGGCGTACTCTAAGTATGACCTAAATTTAGCGGTTCTCCATATGATCGCTAGACATTCGCGCTCGACAGCGACATAACGTTTTTGCGTATTCTTAAGTAAGTTCTCGCGTAAGCTACGATATCCTTTTCCCTCGGCTTTTTGTCCGTGTTGAAATAATACCACCCCTACGTCGAGTTCACTAGCGTCGGTTTGTAGGCAGAATGGTTTTGTGTAGTTGGGGGAAGAGAGGCGTGGTGAGTCGCATATCGCCGATTTAATGTGCCCGAAAGTGTCTTGTTGTGGTTATGACCACGACTACTTTTCCCCTTTATTTATTAGTTGGGTGAGGGGACCGATGCTGTCAGTGTAATTATCGACAAACTGACTATACCAGTTGCATACCCCTAAAAATTTTCGTATATCCCTTACATTGCGTGGGACTGGAATATCGCGTATGGACTGTAATTTTTCCGGCTCTTTGTCTATGCCTAGCCCATGCACCCGGTGTCCCAAAAAAGAAATTTCAGAGTACCTGCTATTACACTTTTTAGTATGGCATGTTAAGCCGTGACGCATTAAGCGTTCAAGAACCTTGCTAAGGTGTTCTAAATGTGTTTCGACACTGTTCGAAAAAATTAAAATATCGTCCAGATAGACCTGAACAAAGTCATCAATGTACCCCCTAAGCACTTCGTTCATTAAACGTACGAAGATCATGGGTGCATTTTTAAGTCCGAGCGGAAGCACACGAAACTGAAATAAGCCCTTTTTCTTTCTGAACGCGGTGTATTCGCGTACGTTTTGTTGTAAAGAGCATTGTCAGTAACCCGATTTTAAGTCGAGTGACGTGAAAAATTTCGCCCCCCTCATGCTTCTAATCATTTCGTTTAAATTAGGCATGGGATACGCGTCTAATACGGTCACATCGTTAAGTCGCCTATAGTCGACACATAAGCGATATGAGCCGTCTTTTTTCTTGGCCAGCTCGACTGGTGCCGACCAAGGGGAGGTGCTGGGTTCTATGAGCCCTTGTGATTCCATATTGCCTACCATTTCGTCTATTGCTTGTTGTTTGTATAGCGGGTACGGATATGGTTTTTGCGCGATGGGTGTCGGGTTTTTTAGAACGATGTTGTGTTCGATAAGCTTTGTGCGGCCCACCGTGGCATTAAAAACCGCAGAATAATTTTTTATTGTGCGCGTTAATAATGTGTGTGTGTGTGTGTAGTATCCTGCTATATCTAGTGTTGATAGATTTACATCGGGTAGCGTGTGCCGAGTACTCGCTTTCCAACAAGCTGTAGTGCGTCGCGTCGCGCCCAAGTGAATTGTACATGCAGCGTAGTCCCAGGAGACTTCCTGTTCTGTTAGAAAGTCGTGTCCCAGGAGTACGTCACAGTACAGATTCTCCAAGATGACAGCCGTGAACTTTATTTGTAGATCCGCAATTTTTGTTATAAAGGTAGCTGTGCCGGCCGTGTCTGTTGTGTGACTGTCAGCTAACCTAACTGGGGATGTTTGTCCGTTGTGCACACTTCGAAATTTGTGAGCTGTTGCTCAAGAGGTATACGATTTTTGCGCTGAGAGTCAAGTAAGGCCGTCACAAAGCCGTTGTCAAATTCCAGCTCCACAGCGGGAGTAGTAATTTTATGTGTTTGTGCGGCAGTACTCAAGTGCCTAGAGGTTCGAACGGGGGGCGTTGAAACGGTGTGTTCGCCGGCAGTATTAATTGCCCTAAGCGGGTAGGCCGTTTCTGCCGTATTTCCCTCCCCCACGGTGACCAACATATCGTTGGACCGACTCGCGTTATAGTCGTTATCTATTGACTCTACGATCGTGTGACAAGTATTTTGAATAATCTTATGGTCCTCATTGTGGATGAGGGGTGTGGTGGTGGTGAGTAATGGAGCTACAGCGTGACCACTATGATGACATTGGGGCTGTAGGAGTGATGGAGAATTTGGTGTGAAAGTGCTGTGCTTGATAGTAAGATTATTTAAAATAATGTCATTTTAATCGAAGAAAGCGCATCCGTTTTTGTTACCGATGTTGATTGAACGGGCGGTTTGGTCGGCGCGCTGATTAGTTCGATATTGTTTTGAGCGTAATTGTGTTTGTAAACCCGGAGAATAGACTAGTGTAAAAGTCCAGAGGTCAAATTTTTTTTTTTCAAATTAAAGTATATTACATTAGCTTTAATTTAAGATATATATAAAAGTGTCAGACCTTCCGTTGAACATGTTCAAAAGTTATGTTGAAAAAGTTCTACTTTCTATATGCATTTTTTATATTTTAAGCCCCCCCATATATAGGGAAATAGTCTGATTTAAAAAAAAAGTATATCCAATGAAAGATCTATATAAATATTACTTTTCNTATGTCGAATGAAAGATCTATATAAATACTACTTCTCATAAAAAAATTGTAATGATTCATACATTTTTCAAAAAGTTATAGCATAATAAAGTTAAAAATGTAAAATACAAAATCGAAAATTTTCACACAAAAATAGCATTCGGTAGCCATTTTCACCATGAAGATAAGACAAAGTCCTAAATTTTTTTTTTTCATGATAAAGAACATTGCATTAGCTTTAATTTAAGATATATATAAAAGTGTCAGACCTTCCGGAACATTTTCAAAAGTTAAGTTGAAAAAGTTAATTTTTTGTGAAAAAGTTGTCATTTTAAATCCCCCCCTGTGGGCAGGTTAAGTGTCAGATTTACAAAAAAAATATACCAAATGATAAGTAAAGACATCAAGCATCTATATAAAAAAAAATTATATTGATATGTTCATTTTTGAAAAAGTTAGAGCATTATTAAGTTAAAAATATAAAAAAAAATTATTTTACAAAAATCGTAATTTTTTATTAACTTTGATGTCAACTTTCACCACGAAGACAAGTCCAGAGGTCAAATTTTTTTTTTTCAAATTAAAGTATATTACATTAGCTTTAATTTAAGATATATATAAAAGTGTCAGACCTTCCGGAACATTTTCAAAAGTTAAGTTGAAAAAGTTAATTTTTTGTGAAAAAGTTGTCATTTTAAATCCCCCCCTGTGGGCAGGTTAAGTGTCAGATTTACAAAAAAAATATACCAAATGATAAGTAAAGACATCAAGCATCTATATAAAAAAAAATTATATTGATATGTTCATTTTTGAAAAAGTTAGAGCATTATTAAGTTAAAAATATAAAAAAAAATTATTTTACAAAAATCGTAATTTTTTATTAACTTTGATGTCAACTTTCACCACGAAGACAAGTCCAGAGGTCAAATTTTTTTTTTTCAAATTAAAGTATATTACATTAGCTTTAATTTAAGATATATATAAAAGTGTCAGACCTTCCGGAACATTTTCAAAAGTTAAGTTGAAAAAGTTAATTTTTTGTGAAAAAGTTGTCATTTTAAATCCCCCCCTGTGGGCAGGTTAAGTGTCAGATTTACAAAAAAAATATACCAAATGATAGGTAAAGACATCAAGCATCTATATAAAAAAAAATTATATTGATATGTTCATTTTTGAAAAAGTTACGGCAGTTTTTAGTAAAAAAAATTGAAAAAATTTCGAAAATTAGCGATTTTTAAATTTGTAATTTTTTTGGAGGTTTCCCCCATTTACGGGGAACGAGGGAAATTTTTTCAATTTTGAAGGGTAATGCTTCGACTAGATACAATTTGTGATCTTTTGACGTATCGTTGAAAGATATCCGTTCGGTGAGAGCTGAGATAAAGTGGTAACAGACACAAAAAAAAAAAAATAAAAAAAAATAAATAAATAAACACATCATAGTAAAACCAATACCTTCTCAGCTTCGCATCGAAGCTAAAATTACTTTTAAGTTGAATTATTGTTAGTAACTATATGTACTCATAATTTTTAAAAAAAATTAATATATGACAAGTACAGATGTAGTTTCATTTGAACAAATGCTATTTACATTTATTCATTATTTGATTCAATATAATTTTAAAAGGTTAAAACATTTAAATAGCAATTGGCTATTACGTTAAAGATATTTTTCTAATACTATTTTATAAGTTAAGATTGACAGAAAAATGATGTTTACGAAGTATTTTTATTTCTTTTTCTTATTGCCTCTTGTGAGTAAAATTATAACACAATGAATTAATCTTAAACAATTATATAAAAAATAGTTTTTACGAATAAATGACATTTTATTTTTCGGATTTTATATCAAAAGTTTCTAAATTGAATTTTTCTATATACATACACTAAATATTTATTTATAACCTAAATTTATTCATTAGTCAGTTAGAGTATAGTAACATTTGAATATTACAGATTTAAATTTTAGAAAACTCGAATACTTAAATAATTTTACATAGACCTTTTCATACTTTTTCTTGCTTTATTACTTTATGTTACATATTTGCAATGATTAAAATATTGTACTGAATATTCCATTGACTAATAATAGTTTTACAGGTAAAATCCAATGACACCATTCAGCAGCCAAAGCAGAACTTATTAACATGTTTGATAAATTCTGGTTTGAATAATGACAAAATCATAAGTAAGTTAACTTGTCTACATAGATTAAAATTGAACTATTTTTTATAACATATACTCAATTGTTATGCCATTTTTTTTATGTAAAATTGAAGTAAATATAATCTATAAAAATTAATATTCACCAAACTAAATATTTAATAAATATTAGATTAGAAGATATTTTGTTATATAATAAATAGTTATTATATTAACGTTTTTAATCTTTTAATTATTTTTAATTATAGATTCTCAAAACAAATTTACTCGTAAATTTAAAGACATTTTATTGAAACGGAGTATAGATATTCTACGTTTAGGTAATTATGATAAAATTAACGAAGTTGCAAAATCTTTGTACGATTAGATTGTTCGTCGCGGTCAACGAGGAATTAAATTGCACGAATGTTGTTTAATGTATGCTACTGAACTAACAAATTTAAAGAAAAATAAGGATCTTATTGAGCCGTATGAAAATATGGTTCGCGATTGGAGTAATGAAGATAAAGTTTTGCCAACGATACTTCGAGAAGATAACATGACTATGGACGAAGGATACGAACTGGGGGATACATGTCAAATAGTTGTATTGACTGGTGATACTGAAGATACAGACCGCATCAAGGTGGATCGTTATAATTAAGATTTAAAAATATTAATGGATGATGACAGATTTGTTTTAATTGTTTAAAAAATATTTAATTTGTAAAAATTATATAAAACAATAAATAGTAAAAAAATGTCTGTGTTATCTACAATATCTTAGTAAATTTTTTTATGAAATATCAACACTGATTCCAAATGTGTCTTTAATTTTTTTACATCATATTTAGTTTTTGAAATAATAACTTATGAGTAATTATATATTATTTATATTATTAGGAAAACTGAAAATAATTTTTTGTTTTTTCATTTTTCTAATAAACTTTATGATGTTAATAACGAGTTGTGCGAAATTTGAGACTTAGCCGTCAAGTATAACCATTTTTATTGATCTTGTGAAGTTCAAAAATAAAAATTGTTTATTTTACATGGCAAATTTATATAACAATGGGAAAAACGTAATAATGAAAAAAAATATACTCATGCAATTTTATTTTTCTAAGTCATTTTTTAGTAGAGTTTTTTATGAATTCAAGAAACAAATTTGATAGATTTAATTTATGTGTGTTTTTAACACTTCAAAAATACTATGTGATTAAATAGAAACATAATTTAAAAACACTTACCTCATAAAATTTTAATAGAGTATCTTAGATAAAATATTTTTTCATCTGGTATGTTTTTATGACAATCCAATGAAAAACCTAAGTACAAGAACGGTTTAAAAATTGCTAAAATTATTTATTTCAACACAATTTTAGTATATGTGTCCGGAACAATTGCGTTCTTCAGACATGCATCAAATTAAAGCTTTTAAAATGTTCTATAAGATAAAAAAAAATTTCTGTACTGATTTAAAATCTGCAATTAGATTTTTCTATTGGCTCTTTTTTGAGATTATTACTAAAACAAGTATTTATATATAAAAAGTAAATTAATGCTACAATTGAAAAAAACGATAGCACAGTAGGGTCGCGGCATAGTATATTTGGGACAAGTATAGATGATATCTGACAGTGATTTAAATCAATATCATAAGAAACTCTTCGATGCAAATCTTTAAGTAGTGTTTAATTTTAAGAATTGATGGATTATTTCAAAAGCAACAATAACACTTATTCCTATAATTTTATCCCAATTAGTTATTTAATTTATAATTATGTAGCGAGGTGTAATATATAGAAGTAATAAACACTTTTACGGTTTAATAGCAACTATACTATATTACAACGAACTAACAAATAACAGCGAGAGACGAAGCGCGTTTAAGACAGAATGCGTAAGTGATTGACTGATCGATTGATTGACTGGAGCGACGATCTTGCTCTTAAATAGTCAGAGGAATCTTCTAGAGGCGGCGGCGGCCGAACATTCTAGAACATTCGACCGCCACAATTATAATATATGAATAAATAATAACTATAGTAATTAAATTTAGTATGATATTGCTATTCAATAATTAAATATTGTAATTTTTATAGAGATATTATAAAAATAATACTAGTATTTTTCGTTCATTATTGTTTTAAGCTTATTATAAAAATTATTTTTAACTTTTTAATTCGATATGCTTTAAAAACGTGTTTTTCAGTTTTTTTAAACTATATTTATATTAGAAATGATTTATATAGCAAAATGTTGCCAAAAAAATATTATAGTCTAGTAGTAACACACATAAATAGAATAAAAAAAAAAATTTATGTCCAATTAAAAATAATTCAAGTCTTTTAAACTTAAAAATGAATAATTACATAAAAGTATGAACAATTTTCATAGTCTATATAAAGTATTCAATTTTGTCTGTATAATCTTATAACAACTAATAAACACATGTAAAAATGACCAATGATTTCATATTTATCATTTAATTTTGGTCTATAACTATAAAATTTAATTAAATATTTTAATATCGAATTGTTACGATCCGATTCCGTATAGATTTTTACCCCACTATACTCTAATGCGTATTATAGTAAACTGTTATATACAAATAGATTATTTAAAATAGATACCATGGTAATTAAAAAAAATACATTCTAAATAAGGCTATAGCTTTTATTTTGGATGTAGTTGAGTGGGTTAAGTTAGACAAATCACCTTTACTATAAAAACCATGTAGCATTATTTAGTCATATTTTCTTACTCTTCGTACCACATTAATCTCAATCCACAGAATTACTTATAAAATGAAAGTAATGACGGAAATATTTTTGCCTTTTTTACTTTCAAGTATGTTTTTGATTCATTCCTCTATCCTAAACTATATTTTTTTAATGGCAACATACACATATTTAAACTAGCCTATAAAATAAAAAAAATTGAAAAACCAGTATTTCATATGTTTTTACTATTTTAAAATATATACAAACAATAGTCAATTGGTTAGATACGGGTTATGATTATTTTTATGAAGTTAAAAAAATATTTATACCTAGTCGAAAAAAGGCCGAGAAATATCTAATAATATATGTTTGAATGTTATTCATAGTTATTTAAATTTTGAGTTGATTAAATAAAGTTCTTAATAAAACTTTTCCGAAATTTCTATAAAATTTCCACAGTATTAAATTTTTGGAAATTTTATAACGCAAGTAGTGATGTATCAGATGATAAAGGATAGTTGAAATCTTATAAATCTGACTGTGTATTATACTTTATTTTTATAAAGATAATGTTAAGTCCTATGTAACTATTGTTATCAACATGTACGTGGACGGTCGTTGACCACCACTTTTACTTAAGTCAGTCGGCGGCGTGCCTTCTTATCGTATAGTTGTAATTAAAACGAATAAAAATTGATATATTAACGTACAAAGTGTTACTTAAAATTTAAATATAATAAAACCCAAAGAATCTGTTCAACCAGAAAAAAGACATACAGTCCACAACATGGTCCTTCGGCCACGGACTTTTGGTTAATAATTAACGAAAAATTTAAATTTTAAGTGCGAAAAAAATAAATACGTAATATAGTGCAACGTGTCATTTGGATTACCAAAAGTTTACCCTTTCAAGAAAGTGGATAAAATTCAAAAGGCCAATCGAAAGGTAGAAAAATTAAAATATATTCCTTTTATTAATAAATTTATTCCAAAATTTCCTAAAAGAAATAAAAGAATATATTGTAAGGTTTTAAATAGTATTGTAAGGTCGTTTTTTTATGTTGGTATTTACCCGGTTGATAGTTATGTTTATCAGGTGGGAATAGTTATAAATCGGCGCGTATACTCTACGCGGAAAGTATATATATATATATAGGTGGGTTTAAAAGGTTATTATAACATCTCGTATGTGGGGATAGGATACTATAGTAAATAGTAGTAACAGAGTAGGAGTTACATTGCTGAATATCAGCTGTTAGTAGTATTAAACTTCACATCGCGTTCTCACTTACCTTCGACATGGGGGAAACGAGCATTAATCTTGCGCAGCGCAGAGGACAATTAAAAACGTCTTTAATAAAATTCGAAAAATATTTGAGTAGCGGAAAAGTCTCAATAGAGCAAATACCATTTCGGATAGAAAAAATAGAGGCTGTTTGGTCAGAGTTCGAAGTAATTCAAGGAGCTATAGAGCTCGAAGAAGAGATAAATATGGAGGAGCAAGATATATATAGAGAGGAATGTGAAGAATTATTTTTTAGAACATTAGCCAAAGCAAATAAATTAATTGGTAGAGTAAGTTCGTCAAAGGTCGAAAATAGAGAAATCAAAGAAAATCAATATAGCTGTCAGCAAAGTTCTTGTGGTCAAACAAATAAATTTATTTCTCACGTTAAATTAGCTCCTATAAGTATTTCAGTATTTACTGGCGAATACAGTGAATGGAAACCTTTTTATGATTTATTTTCTAAACTTATACATGTTAATGCGGATCTATCGGATATTCAGAAATTTTGCTATTTACGCTCATCTTTATCAGGAGAGGCAGCAAATATTATTAAAAGTTTAGAAACAACAGCGAATAATTATGAAATCGCGTGGATAATGTTAAAAGAGAGATATGACAATAATAAGTTAATAATTCAAACCCATGTGAAAGCTATTTTTGAGCTAGGAATGGTGCATCAAGAGTCTGCTGTTAAAATAAGAGAATTTTTGGATTCTTTAGTCTGTCGTATTAGTGCATTAAAAATGTTAGAAGAAAAACCTGAAGAATGGGGGCCGATGTTAATGCATTTAATTTGTACTAAGCTTGATAGAAATACGCTAAGTAGATGGGAAGCAGAATCACCCCAAGATAGAATAGCACGTGTATCCGAATTTATTACATTTTTGGAAAATAGAGTAAAAGTATTAGAAGCGTCAAAAAATATTTATTCGCGAGGTAACCAACAACTTGGTAACCAAAATATGTTTATCAAACAAAATAAGTATAGATCAGCTGCGGTAACAACTACGCAAGGATTAAAATGTTATGTTTGTGAGTTGCCACATACAATATACCGTTGTCCACAGTTTATTTCATTATCAATTGCGGATAGAATTAAAAAGGCAGTGGCACTCAAACTATGTAAAATTTGTTTGAGACGGCATAGTGAAAGATGTACAGCGCGTTATTGTTTAAAGTGTTCAAAACCACACAATGTATTGTTGCATTTAGATATAACTCTAAATCAGGAAATAAAAGTAGATAATAATACTACAAACGATAATTCAGTAGTCTCAGATAACGTATCAACGAGCGCTATTGCAGCTGCTCAATTACACGAACAAGTGTTGTTGTCAACAGTAGAAGCTTATGCAGGTAATGTTAAAGGTGGAAAAGAAAAATGTAGAATTTTGCTGGATTCTGGTTCACAGTGTAACTTTATAAGCGAATATATGGTACAATCATTAAGGTTGCGTAAATCGCGAGTACACCACAGTGTCATTGGCATAGGAGGTACTAAAAAAAATATTACTTCAGCGGTTACAGTAGTAATTACATCGCGCATTAGTTTATTCAAAATAGAAGTACAATGTTTGGTTGTTCCTAAGATAACAGGATTTATTCCGTCGAATAATATAAAAAGTAAATATTTTATTCCGGAAGGTATTCAATTAGCAGATCCGTCTTTCACAGTACCGCAAAAAATAGACTTATTACTCGGAGCAGGTCACTTTTTTGATGTTTTATGCGCGGGTAAAATTAAACCGTCCGAGGACGGACCAATATTTCAACAAACGCAGTTTGGTTGGGTAATTGCAGGAGTGGTAAATCCGGGCTGTAGTCAAGCGTATCATTCTATTAGTTATTCGGCAGTGATTGATCACGAAAATCAATTAGAAAATATGTTATCTAAATTTTGGTGTTTGGAAGAAGTAGGAACAGCCGCGCCTCTAACGTTAGAAGATAAAAAATGTAAAGAGTTTTTCGAAAATACGGTTAAGCGAGACGATGTCGGTAGATTTATGGTTTATTTACCTTTTAAAGAAGGGGAAAATTATAAATTAGGCGAATCATACGAGATAGCAAAAAAGAGATTTTTAAATATGGAAAGAAAGTTGCAAAAAGACGAAAAGTTAAAAGAGGAATATAGTAAATTTATGAAAGAATACGAAATATTGGGTCATATGCAGAAAATTAGTGAAAAGAAACCCATAGTTGGGGAACATATATGTTACTTACCGCACCACGCTGTATATAATTATAATAGCACAACAACACGACTTCGTGTGGTATTCGATGCGTCGTGTAAAACGTCATCTGGTAAGTCACTGAATGACGTACTATTAAAAGGTCCCGTCTTACAAGACGATATGATTTTTATTTTAATACGTTTTAGAAAACATAAAGTTGCTTTAACTGCAGATATAAAAAAAATGTATCGACAAATTAATTTAGCTCCTGAACATTGTGAATACCAAATAATATTATGGAGAGAAAATCCAAAAATGCCCATAGAAATTTATAAATTAACAACAGTCACATATGGTATGAGTCCTTCGTCGTTTTTAGCAACTGCTTGTTTACGTACTTTAGCTAGTCAGGAAGAAAATTATTATCCATCAGCTTGTTCTGAAATAAAAAATAATTTTTACATGGACGACTATTTAGGAGGCACAGACACTATCGAATCAGCTGTTCAGTTACGCGACGATCTTATCTGTATATTTCAACGAGCCGGTATGTCGCTGTGTAAATGGTTATCTAATAAAAACACAGTTGTAGACGACACGGTTGAAAATAAAAATAACGAACGTGCATTTGAATCAACGATAACAAAAATACTTGGTCTAACGTGGGACCCCGCTAATGATATGTTTATATTTAAAATAAATTTAAACATTTACGCGGAAAGTGATTTAACTAAAAGGAAAATATTATCTGAGGTAGCCAGTATTTATGATCCGCTTGGTCTTTTAGGACCTGTAATAATAAGAGCCAAACTCTTCATTCAAAGTTTATGGAACATAAAATTAGCGTGGGATGAAGTATTAACTGATAATATAAGTGAAGACTGGTTAAATTATCGCAAGAGCTTGTTAACTTTGAATAATTTAAAAGTGCCACGAAAAATAATNATTAACTGATAATATAAGTGAAGACTGGTTAAATTATCGCAAGAGCTTGTTAACTTTGAATAATTTAAAAGTGCCGCGAAAAATAACGTGTGAAAAAGATATTTCGTCGATAGAAATACACGGTTTTTCGGACGCATCAGAAAAGGCATATGGTGGATGTATATACTTACGATGCACCGATATAGATGGTAAACATAGTTTAAGGCTTATTTGTGGGAAATCAAAAATAGCTCCATTAAAAGTAATTTCTATACCCAGATTAGAACTACGCGCAGCGTTATTACTCGCACGGTTATCTTATAATGTTATGGAAAAGTTAAAATTAAATATTATAAAAAAGTACTTTTGGACGGACTCAAATATAGTTTTGGCGTGGATATCTTCTCCATCCACAAATTGGAAGACATTCGTTGCTCACCGAGTTGGTGAAATTCAGAATTTATCTTGTCCATCAGAATGGGCTCATGTACGGTCTCAGGATAATCCAGCCGACTTGCTTTCTAGAGGATGTGAAGCGAAGTTGATGAATGAGATGCAGTTATGGTGGCAAGGACCGTCTTGGTTGAGTAAGGATAAAACGGAATGGCCAAGTAAAAATAATGGAGTAATAGAAATTTCAAGCAATATGTTGGAAAGAAAAAGTACAACTAAATTTATTGGTAATGTAATAGAAGAAGCTAATTTGTTAGACAAATTTTCATCTTTAAATAAAATTTTACGTATTATGGCTTATTGTTTAAGATTTATAGATATTAAAATACATAAAAAATTGTTTAAAACAAGTGTTATAAATGCAGATGAATTAAATAGGGCAAATATTAATTTAATACGTATTGTGCAAAATAATTATTTNATATTGCTATTCAATAATTAAATATTGTAATTTTTACAGAGATATTCTAAAAATAATACTAGTATTTTTCGTTCTTTATTGTTTTCAGCTTATTATAAAAATTATTTTTAACTTTTTAGTTCGATATGTTTTAAAAACGTGTTTTTCAGTGTTTTTAAACTATATTTATATTAGAAATGATTTATATAGCAACATGTTGCCAAAAAATTTTTATAGTCTTGTAGTAACACACATAAATAGAATAAAAAAAAAATATTTTATGTCCAATCAAAAATAATTCATGTCTTTTAAACTTAAAAATGAATAATTACATAAAAGTATGAACAATTTTTATAGTCTATATAAAGTATTCTATTTTGTCTGTATAATCTTATAACAACTAATAAACACATGTAAAAATGACCAATGATTTCATATTCATAATTTAATTTTGGTCTATAACTATAAAATTTAATTAAATATTTCAATATCGAATTGTTACGATCCGATTCCGTATAGATTTTTACCCCAGTATACTCTAATGCGTATTATAGTAAACTGTTATACACAAGTAAATTACTTAAAATAGATTCCATGGTAATTAAAAAAAAATACATTCTAAATAAGGCTATAGCTTTTATTTTGGATGTAGTTGAGTGGGTTAAGATAGACAAATCACCTTTACTATAAAAACCATGTAGCATTATTTGGTCATATTTTCTTACTCTTCATACCACTTTAATCTCAATCCACAGAATTACTTATAAAATGAAAGTAATGACAGAAATATTTTTGCCTTTTTTACTTTCAAGTATGTTTTTGATTCATTCCTATATCCTAAACTATATTTTTTTAATGACAACAAACACATATTTAAACTAGCCTATAAAATAAAAAAAAATTGAAAGACTAGTATTTTGGAAGTTATTACCATTTTAAAATATATACAAACAATAGACTATTGGNAACTAATAGAGCTGTACGACAATTATGTCCGTTACCTTTTGAGGGCAATCAAACAATGAGTTAAATTGCTTCAATGATTCATACTGTTAAAATTAAACATTTTTTGATTATTTATTTGTTAATTTATTTATATTTATTTTGTATAGATAAATTATGAGAGTCCAATTGTGTGTTTTTTCGATGGTTATTGTCGAATATTAATTGTTAAATCTATTTGATAAGTTTTATTCCTTTGGTTTATTTATAGTATTTTGTAATATTTTGTTTTTTTTGTTTATTTGATTTGTTTAATAATCTTTAATTTAAAACAGTGTTTTAAGGCACCCGCTATATTAAGTCCTATGTAACTATCGTTATCAACATGTACGTGGACGGTCGTTGACCACCACTTTTACTTAAGTCAGTCGGCGGCGTGCCTTCTTATCGTATAGTTGTAATTAAAACGAATAAAAATTGATATATTAACGTACAAAGTGTTACTTAAAATTTAAATATAATAAAACCCAAAGAATCTGTTCAACCAGAAAAAAGACATACAGTCCACAACATGGTCCTTCGGCCACGGATTTTTGGTTAATAATTAACGAAAAATTTAAATTTTAAGTGCGAAAATAATAAATACGTAATATAGTGCAACGTGTCATTTGGATTACCAAAAGTTTACCCTTTCAAGAAAGTGGATAAAATTCAAAAGGCCAGTCGAAAGGTAGAAAAATTAAAATATATTCCTTTTATTAATAAATTTATTCCAAAATTTGTAATTAAAACGAATAAAAATTGATATATTAACGTACAAAGTGTTACTTAAAATTTAAATATAATAAAACCCAAAAAATCTGTTCAACCAGAAAAAAGACATACAGTCCACAACAGATAAATTTATCATTTTTTATTGCCATAACTGAATTTTAATATGATGTTATTTTTTTTTATATTTATTTTTTTTAATTAGAATGGAATCTATTTTAATTAGAATTATGGACTTCATTACATAATAGAAATCTAATTCTCCCGGTACACAAATGTTGTACCTGACTTTTTAATGTTTACACAGTTTATAATAAATTATATACTATATAAATTTGTGTATTTCAAAATTCATTAACACAAAAAAACAATTTGATTTATAAACACGTGCATTAGCTTCTATATACAACGTATAGAAAATCTATTAGTTTAAACAAATTGATTTCACGTACATGTGATTTGTTTTGTACACTTCACATATATTTTATGTAACTTAAAAATAACTATGAATAATCTTAAGATTAAAATGTTTTTTGTTTTTAAGAAAAAATATAATTTACCAAATAAGTTATATAAAATAAAATACTGAAAACAATATTCATAAAACTATTTCTAATTCAACAGTGTGTCAACATTTTATAAAATTAATTTAAATCTAAAATGATTTTACTAAAATTGATTAAAATGTCTTCAAATCCAGTTAAAAATATAAATTACCAAAAAATGTGCATAATTTAATTGTCAACTCATTGTGCTTTTTTTTGAGATTATTTGAAAAAGTTTAGTAAAGCTTTGATATAAGTTTTGAACATAGTTCCCGTATAAAATACGTATTTGATGCACTCTAACTTCAAGCTTAAAAAAATGTAGGAAACTGGATAAGTGAAATTCTTATTAGCCTACTGTGCAATTTTAGAGACATTAATTTCAATGAAAAATAAAAGTTCATACGTTTTAAAATAAAACTAGACTTTAAACTATATACTATTTTGTTCAATTTTAAATAATCAATTTATTGTTTCAGAAAAATTTTATTTTTATTAATCATTATTACTTTAATTTGTTTTGAAATTAATAAATAAAAAAATAATTATATTGCGGTTAGAATTACTTAATTGCCTACTAAATTTTTAATTAGTTATAATTGAATTCATTAGTTGAAAATGTTCCGATTCTAATACTGAATTTTTGAGATTTTACTATCATTGCTAATTATATAGTTATTTTATAATTTATTAGGCATTTTCAATGAATTTATTGAAAATTCATTTAACATATATAAATCTAAAATGAAAATGACTAAGAGCAATGTGACAGCTGATATAACAATTTTTTGTACCAATATTTAAAAATTGTTTTTATGAAATCATTGTTAATTGTTTAAATAAGTTTTTTCATCTATAATTTAGCACACTAGCAGATTGATATTCTTAAACTTATTTTTGTGATTAGGTATTATTTAAGAATATTACATATTTAAATTATCAAATAATATATAAAAAATGAATTATATCACTCATAAAATAAGTCCTGTTCAATTCAATTTTTAGAATGTAAAATTGATATTGTAGAAATGAATGTTGAAGGAAGAAGTGGTAGAGGAAGACCTAAAAAGAGATGGAAGGATTCTCTTGAAGCAATATGAAGACAGCTGATATGAGTGTAGATGATGTGGGAGATCGTGTCAAGTGGAAGATTAGAATAAGAGTGCCCGACCCCAAGTAGTTGGGATTAAGGTGAGGAAGAAGAATGTAAAATTGATGGTCTAAACAATTACAAAAAAAAAATTTCGACAATCGACAATAAAATTTAATTCTAATTTAATATTATTCAGATTTTTGCGAATTTAAATATTGACAATGACGTGTTTTTTTTAACATCAGCGGTTTTCCTTATAGTGTAAAGGATGCAAAGCCCGTATAAACAAAAAAAAAGATATATTTTATATTTAAATAGTATACAACAAATTTTTTAAAATTATATTCTTATTATTTAATATCATTGATATTTTTCATTAATCATATTTGTTAGAGTGGTCATTATCTTCCAAAATAAATTTGAAGAAATGTTTTTATATATTTACTATTATTACTAAAGTATAAAAAAACATTAATTTACTTTATTTAAATAGTTAACTTTAATATACTATATTATATTATACTAGGGATAATTGTAAATAAATAATAGACTAGCCGAGAATGAACAAAAAATAAATTATTATTTTATAAAACTTATTCAGTTATTTTAACTTTTATGCTACATAAATATATTTATTTATATAAATTATAAATATTTGTGTATATATTTATCATAAATTAATTATTTATAATAAAAATTAATCATAAAAACATATTTTAAAATTGTTGATTATTGACAACACTCCTACTCATTTAATAGACATGTACTAAATTTAACGGATAACCAGTGGAAGATTATTAAAATATTAGATTGTTTGCAAAAAAAAATTAAATATATTTTATTTGGAATCATTATATGTGAAAATTAAATTAAAATATAAATTTAAAAAAAAAATGTAATTTTGCTCGAAAACAATTATTAAAATAAGCCTTGAATCTGTAAGTCTTTATTTAATGTGTTCTTTAAATATTGGTCATATAACTTATCCATATCATCTAGTGTTGACTTGATAATCCCATGACTAGCAGAACTTGAATCTTTAAGTAATTTATTACCAATTATTTCAGCTTGAACAAAAGTGTCAGAACAATTCTTTACAATTTCAGAACAGCTTTTTGTACTGTCATTCAATTTAGAAAATTCTCCAGTGTTTGTGAAAGGAATACAAATAGAATCGATCATTTTTTCTCCGATAAAATCTATAATTTTATCATTTTTATAAAACTTACCAATAAAAGCTACCCAAATATTCATTAGTTTTTCAAACTCAGGAGAAAAATTATAAGCATATACTGAAAATATAATATAGATTTTCATTATACATTATAATACTACCAAAAATATTATTTCTTAACATATTATCAACATAACGGGGAAAACGAATTTTTAAAATTAATAAAATAATAAATAATTTAAGTTTTTTTTAAAGAATTTTAGAATTTATGATAGCATGACAATATTTTGGTACTAATAATTTTATGTCATAACTTGTTCTACAGTACAAATTCATGCTGAACACAATTCCAATTAGTATAATATCCATTTTGTTTTAATGATTTAGTCATAAATTAATGTTAAATATCTATTTGAAATTAAAATAAAATGACCATTAAGATATTAAATTCAAACTTGAGCGAATAATACGATCATCAAAGTTTTAATAAAAAATTATCCACTTTAATTCAAATAAAACATTTTTATATATAATAATAATATTTTTATTGGCATGACGATTTAAATTATTAGTATTCAATCTCGAATAATTTAGTTAGAATGATTTATGCCTAAATAATAAAATTTATACATCTTACAAGGATGTCTAAAAAATGTTACTCCAACTTCTTCAACTATACATGCAAATAAAAAAAATAATTTTGTTACTAGTAATAATAATAATAATAATTATCATTCATAAATTAAGAGGGCATCGAAGTACTTTTTTTTTTGACAAATGAAAACTCATTTTGTGGTTTGCATAAATGTTAAAAATATAGAAAAAATTAAAACAATTGTAAGAGGCATCCAAAATTTATATTTTTTTAAAAATTACACCTATTTTAACTTTGATGCGAAGCTGAAAAGATATTTATTTTAATTTGATGGGTTTTTTGTGCCTATTTAAATAATTTCTCAGATCCTACTGGTTTGATTTTGTTCAACGGTACGTCAAGAGATCACCTAGATGAAGACTCAACTCTCAACATTGTCATATGAAATATTATTAAATTAATTGGTGTCTTATTGTGGTGCAATCTAGTCGAGTCCGCCAATAGTTGACTGTTAAGATACACACTGTAAAATAGATAGTTATAATGATCAATGTCTTAAATGTTTTGTACATTTTGATTTTGGATAGTTTTCAATTTGATACCCTCTTAAAAAAAATACTTCGGTTTTAATTTTCATTGATATAATTTTCTTTTAGATTGAAAATTATAAAAATAAAAATTATTAATTTCATATTGTCATTATGTTTTACTTTTGTACGAGATAATATTAGCCAAACCGTATTTATCGAGACATATACGGAATCTTGCTTGTCGACTGCATTCAATAGATTCAAAAAACATCTGTGACTATTCAAGTTTAAATAAATATTAGATTTTTTTGAATTTATACATTTATTTAGAAATAATTAAAATATATTGTATACATATTATGGTATATTATATTATGTAGAATATTGTATCTCTCTTTATCTGGGGGTTAATCCATGCCAAATCATCCAGAAGTGGTTGCACGACCACCTTATATTTTTCTTAATTTTTCAGGGTTTATTATTTATGCAATAATTAGATTAAAACAATTTTTTTTTTTTTTTATGACCTTCCGATTTTTATGGCTATTTCAATGTAAAAAATGTTAAAAATAGCCAGAACGTTAAAAAACACACAGATTATTCAATATTAACTCAATCGACTTAAAATTTTAGGATTGACCTGATTATAACTTAAAGTTAACATTAAAAAAAAAAAATTTATGTGATATTTCAAACTTAAATGACTTTCTAAAAATGGTGCTTTTTTTGAGAAAATTGGCGTTTTTGAGCTCACCTAAAACCATTAAGAAGTTATAATTTTATAGTGATTTTCAAATGTGGTATTGTATTGTAATTAGATATCTATAAAGACAAACAACGCCAAAGTATTAGATTTAAAATTAAAAATATCCACAATACAACCTATAAAACCTATACACAATTTTTACAGAAAAGTTTATATGTAATAATTATAATATATAATAGTTACATTGTATTGTAATATATTACATATACAGTAATATATAAAAAAATTATAAAAATATGGTTTGAAAACAACAAAAAAGTATCATTAAATTACATGATTTTGATCGGATTTTTACTGATTTTCTAATGCTAAATTTTACATGTTAAACTTTTTTTCTCAAACTTCAAATTTTTATGGTGTACTAAACAGATATATAACTAAAAAATTTTNTCTCAAACTTCAAATTTTTATGGTGTATTAAGCAGATATATAACTAAAAAATTAAAAAAAAAATTTTTCGAAATTAGGTCCCCCAACAGAGATAATGCACCTAGAATACGTGTCTTTTTATAAAATTTCTAACTTTGTAGGCCTCTAAATCCCAAGAAAATTGTTTTAAATATTTGAAATTTAGTTGAAACATAGATTATATACTATACAATACCACATTTGAAAATCACTATAAAATAATAACTTCTTAATGGTTTTAGGTGAGCTCAAAAACGCCAATTTTCTCAAAAAAAGCACCATTTTTAGAAAGTCATTTAAGTTTGAAATTTCACATAAATTTTTTTTTTTTTAATGTTAACTTTAAGTTATAATCAGGTCAATCCTAAAATTTTAAGTCGATTGAGTTAATATTGAATAATCTGTGTGTTTTTTAACGTTCTGGCTATTTTTAACATTTTTTACATTGAAATAGCCATAAAAATCGGAAGGTCATAAAAAAAAAAAAAAATTGTTTTAATCTAATTATAGCATAAATAATAAACCCTGAAAATTTAAGAAAAATATGAGGTGGTCGTGCAACCACTTCTGGATGATTTGGCATGGATTGACCCCTGGTAGTGATTCAATGCGTCATATACTATGGATAGCAGCCAAAAATTTCATAAAATCTTTTTCAAAATCAAGAAAATATAAAATAGTCTTAAATTTCCTTAAATTTCCTTAAATAAATTTAGAAAAATTGAACATTTTTTTTCCTATTCTAACTATTTGAGGTTAGCTTAAGTAGTTCCAACCTTCAATAACACTCGCTATTTTGCACCTTTTTCACATTCATCAGCCATTTTCATATCACTTTCTAGCATATAATTCATTTAGTTTTCGATCTCTCTTCTATCTCCTTTTCCTCTACATTCAAGTTATTTACTAATTTTTCTGCCTTAACTTTTTCTCTTCTTAAAATACAATTCAACCATCTCAATATTTTTTTTTTTTGTTTTAAATTTATTCGACATCATTTTTGTTTTATTTCAATAAGAGGTTAAATGTACTCTTGAGGTAAAAAGTAAATTTTAAGCTTTTTCTTAAATGTATTAGTATATGATATTTAAACCCTAATTGAAATTTTAATATCTAAAAATGAAGTTCAAGATATGAATTTTTTATTACTTCAATAATAATAAATAATTATAAAAACAAAATTATTTTTAAAAAGTTGACACACATAGTAGTCCGGGCAAATTGACATAGATTAATTTGACCCTAAAACATAGGTTAAGGCACAGTTAGACTAAAAACCGTAATATTAGGCTAAGTTTACATAAAATCGAATCTTTCATTACTCTACTTGAAGTATTATTAATATTGTATCAATTGATACAAGAGCAAAACATGTAAAAAGTGTGTCAACCAAACCCGATATACCTTACTTTATTTTACTTACACTCATAAATATAAGCGAGAAAAGCATAAGCTTAATTAGTTTCATTATGTTAATTTTTAACTGACAAAAAATATTGTTTAACAAGTAAATTAAATCTGCAATAAAAAAAAAAATAATTAACAACTAACTTATATGAAAATAAATTTAGTTATTTTATGTTTAAAAATCTTTTATTTTTTTTTTAATTAAAAAATATCTAAAATTTAACTTACCAAGTCAATACAATATTCAATTTTAAATAAAAATCTATAATTTTATGATTTTTCCTATGATTTATTATTTTCCTTTTTAAAGTAGACTTTAAATGAATTGTTATTCAACAATAGCATTATTTATTTCGACATATATTTATTTATATTTTATTCACATAAAATAATATAGTGATTTATCTAAACACAGTAAAATATTGATAAAAATAATATAATTTATTATTCTGTGTCCTCATTTTACCTAAAAAATTTATATGAAATGAGTTGAGCCTTAAGCAATAAAAAAAGTGGAGGGGGCTAAATCCATTTTTATCTCTTTAAAAAAATATTTCATACACTACATAGAATAAATTTTAGCTAAATTCTTCTACGTTAAAATGTCTTATTATTTCAAAATAATAACAAAGTTAGTAAAGAATTTTTTTTCTGATTTATTTTTAGTTTTATATACCTCTTGATTTATCAATCATTGTAAACTTATTAGGTCCATCCCTCGATCCTTATTGGAATTCGTTGCAAACTTTATTTTTTTTATGGTAACATACAGTAGCTTATACAGTGTAATTTGTTGAGTGTACTACATTATTAAAACATTATGAAAAATTAAAAAGAAAACAAAATTTTAATATGATTTTTATTAGATATGCAACGGATGCTATGCAAAAAAAACTTCAAAATGTTCCCATAGAACCAAATAACACTTTTCTGTCCTTTTAATAAATAAATATAAGATTCCTATTTGTTAATCCAAGTTTTTCCAAACTAATAATAATTCAATTTGGATATTAGGATAGCTTTAGTATGTTTTTAATAATATAACGGTTTAGAAGCGAAATAAGTGTTTTGAATAATAGGACACGGCTTGCGCGGTCGTATCTACTTAGTAAATAATAAACTATAAAAAGGCTGAGCACCAATTAAAAGATTAATCTTTTGCGGTGATATAAAAGAAGGAACGGCTAACGGCAAATTATTAGGAAGTTGAATACAATTTTCTGTAATATAAGAAGACGGTATATTTTTTTTTGCTATACTTTTTACTACTAGACGTGGATAATTCGAATGAGTCGAAAAGCGAGCTGATCGTTACCGTGGTAGTATGACAAACACGTTGCTCAATACCACCTATTCCACATACGTTGTAACTAACATTGAATTTTCGTAATTTTAATAATTGTGTAACGTGACAAAAAGTATCTATATATTTTTTTATCTATTTGTATATATATATATATATATATATATATATATATTTATATTGAGCCGAATGCGTACTGCGACGGCGTTTGTCAGTTAATTAATCATGATGAGGTGTTGTGATTTGTTTGTGCGCGTGCGAGATAGTCAGCTGTGTACTACTTCAGACCGGTTCATGGACGGCATTTGTGTGTACATTCACCCCGTTCCTTTCCTATCTTGAACGTCATTTGCACTGCTCACCGCATACATTGTCGCCTTATGATTTAAATTGTTCTTAGTAATTTCCGGCACTGGGTATTAAGATTTTTTTTGACCCTTAATCTAAAGGCTAGCCGTGGTGTCGCCAACGGACCGCCGGGTCAAAGGCCGGACGAATTGTCGGAAAATAGCCATTATTGGAACTGGTCGTGGCTAATTTTCGTCCGTAGCGGATTTTTTTGTTGTGTGCGCTACAACTATAATAATTGTTTTTTTGTTTTACGTGAGTGTCCGACATTTTTTTAATATGTAATTTTTTATTTATGGCGTCTGCTGATCTTGCCTCCACTTTCTGTAGCCCTTCGTGGCTGGTAATGTATATTTTTGTAATATTATATTATTACATATAATATTAATATATAATATGATGTTATCATTTGTTCATGTATGTCACATATTATGATTATACAAGATCACCAAAACAGGGTTCTTTTATTTAAAATACAAAATAACCCTTTAACTATACGATAAAATCTCCCTCTTGTAGAAATTATTAAGTAACGCCTACACGCTGGGACCCCATTTTAATTAACCAATTAGAATACAAAGCCACAGCTTCTAGGATCACGGTAGAGATCGCTGGACTACCCTCTTCACACTATAAAAAGCCATTTTTCTCCATCTAAACCAGTTTTTTTTGACGATTTTAAAATACACAAAATCTACGACACTCTACTCAAGATTTCACTTTCCGGGACTTAATTAATTTGGATTTAGAATATTTTTCTTTAAAACTAAATGAAACTTAGAAATTTTAAAGTGAATTTTGTTTTAGTGAATCTTTTAATTAAATTTAATTTGTTCAATCATTAATAATATTTTAAACATTACATTTTTTTTTTAAATTATTTTATTTTAATGATAAATCCAACCTAAATTTAGACTTTTATTTAATAATAAAAATTTATTGTGAGCTTTTCTTATTGGGTAGCTAGTCTCGTTGCTAATGTCTTTGTTTTAACAAACATCGCGCCGGCAGACAAAGCTAAAGGTCACAATCTTCTCAATTTAAATTGAGATTTAAATTTATTTGACTAAGTGTATTGCAACTCTATACTTATTGGGTAGCTAGTCTCGTTGCTAATGTCTTTGTTTTAACAAACATCTCTCCGGCAGACAACGCAGAGAAACTTACGAATATATTTGCAGTGTTTAATTTTTGTCTTGGTGATTATTGTGCCGCATCCTTTCATGGTGCTTTATTTTAGCACCGGGATACATTGGGCCACCGCAATTCTGCCTTGATAAATTTTTTATATAGATATAGATATTTCTGAATCTTGTTTTGGCCAGGCCAGAGGAAAATTTAAGAAATATTGGTATCGATCTCTCAATAAAAAAAATATACTTTCTAAAAAAAAAAATACTTATTCAATAAACGTAAAAAATCAATAAGTAAAAAAATCAAAATTGTTTTTATAATAAAATACAGAGTGTTTAAAATCGTTTACAAGTAAGATCAGTCTTAGATTTTGTGTAATTAAATCATATTATTTAAAGTCTTGAGTCGTTTTTTGTAATCAATTATATAGACTATATGACATATAGTGTAAATCGTATACGTAGTGCGTTTAATACGGAAATCAAAACTGGATTACTTAAAGTATTATTGTATTACACAGGACGTAAGGTAAGTACAATTTAACCTATGCTTTCGAACTTCCAACAATCTATCGCGTGATAAACCATTAATAATTAATGAGAGAAACAATTAATGAGAAAATTAATTTAAATAAAATTGAAGACAATTATATCTACATTAAAGTTACAAAAACTTATAATAAATAATGATTATAATAATTTACTAAGCACCCCTAATTTCTTTTTATATTTAACTCTTTAATAACCCTACTCTATAATTTTATAATTTCTTCTTTTCTTTCTTTTAAATTTTTTATTTTTGGTTTATTACATTTAGTATTTAATGTTTTGAGCCAGATTATTTTCTTTGTGCGCCGTGCCATTAGCACGTGTGGCGAATTTTTTTATATTTTTTTTATAGTTTTTTTTGTGTAGGTGCCCCTATTTTTTTTATTTAGGTCCCGCAACATGACAGACGTGTACAAGACCACCTGTCATGTTATATCTATATTTTTTTTGTGATTTTTTATAGGTTTTATATTATATTTTATGGGTGATATGTATATATTATTGGTACAATGTGGTGACGTAGTGCATTTTATTCCGGGGTGTCCCAACGTCTTGCAAGCTAAGTCTTTTTTTTCTTTTTTTTTTTTCCCTCCTGTTCGACTTAATGTAGACCGCCCCGGAACTGCCGTTAGGCATTGCTTCGGGGCGGCCTACGTCGCCTTCGTCTTCACATCACCGCGCTGAGAAATCCCAGCACGGCGTAGCCCCCCCCGTTAGCCGGACCCCACTAGAGGGTCCGTTGCCCGGGTTTGACCACGTGGAGGTGGGGGTGGGCTATCATCACAACTGACGGTCGGATTTTGATTCCGACCTACTTTTTGGCTGGGGCAGTCTTTTGATTGATGCCCCTCCTTCCTGCACCTGAAACAGGCCTTCGACCTGTCTGGCCCTTTGCAAGCATGGGCGATGTGCCCACGTTCCAGACACCTGTAGCACTGAGGACCTTTATCAAGAATCCTCAGCCTACAGGATGTCCAACCTAACCGTACTCGGTTAATCGATGTCAGGCGATGGGCAACTCTGAGGGGCACCTCACACCTTGCATACCGCCCTTTACCGCCGGTGTTCGTGTGGACCGTGATTTGTCCCACGTGCGGCGGCAGTTCTCCGTCAGGAGACTTCAGGGCGGTGCAAAGTGCTCGGTGCACGTCTCGCTCCTCCTGCTACTCCTCCACGTCCAAGAGAAGGACAGTGCAGGTCATCGAAGGTCGGTGAACCCGCACGTCCATCTCCTGTAGAGCCATCTTCAGTTTGGCTGCCAAAAGGTCCGCTTGTTCCGCGGTCCCCCGGACCGCCAGTAGGACGGCCCCCGCATGGGTTCTCCGGGTCCTGGACACTTCAATGCCCAGGGCCTGGAGGTCAACAGCAGCCATGGCTATGCCCATTACCGTGGCATACTTTTGACCTTCCCTTAGGGGGCCGATCACAACTGCTTCCGTGCGAGGCACTCTGGTCCGCAGTTTTTTGTAAAAGTGTAGGTGTAACTATTATTTTTATTAATATCTATTTTTTTTTCTTTGTCCCCTTTAATTTGTAGATGAGGTTTTTTGACCGTTCGGTTTTTTGCCTCGTGTTAACTTAATTTTTTTTGTTTTTGCGTGTTCCATCTTCAATGGACTCGTGTATTTTTTTTTCTTTCAAAAATCATCTCCCCTTAGATTATAAGGTACGGGCAACGGCCTTGTATAAGGTCATCCCTCATTAATATGGTTATGTGACAACTGTCACGAGGTTTTGGTGTACATCTTCTATCAACGACTCAACGGATATCAACTTTAATATTTATTAATTTTATATTTTTGTCTAATTGTTTTAACATACAAAATTTAATTTTTCTTTAAAATCCTACTGTGGTCCGACAATACATTGTCTCCCCCAGTAGGTTGGCGACCCTTTTTCTTGTTACTTTTTCAATACGCCATGAAAGTTACAAATTTTTCGTTGCGGCCAATTAATTAAATTTTTTTTTATATTTGTAACCTTTCAATTGCACCATCTTTTCTGTGATAAAATTACTCTCGGATCCCGAATCTAACGACACATGACCTGCTTATCGTGTTCACCACGTATTAATACCACCGCTGTAGAAAATAACACTGCGCTATCTTTGTCAACCACTGCCTGGGCTATCATGGTCATTGACTCGTTATCGGTAGCAAGCGTATTTGATGTTATTGGTGTGTCATTACTTTTATTATAATTAGTGCTATAGACTGAAGCACTTAATGATGCTTCGATAACGTTGTTTCGCGGCGGCAAATCTAATAATTCGTTGTGAGATTTCGAACATTCAATGCACAAACGCACATAACATAATTTATTCGGATGAGATCTTGGACAAATCTTACACAAATTTAACTCCGTGATCTTTATTATTCGCTGGTCAATTATTAACGATAGTAATTTTGAACACTGATATACGGTATGCTGGTTTTCACATATATAGCACCTTATACTTGGCGCATACGCTATTAATGTCGTTTTAGGACGATGTCCTTTCAAATTGAAATGAAACTGTGTCGGCGTAGAATGATTATGGATGTTAAGCAAATTTTCGATTTCTTCCAATATTTTGTAGCGCTGGCTCAAAAAATCGATTAATATAGATACTTCGGATATTTTTTCATCATTTGACTAAGCCTCCCACAATTCAAGTGACAGTTTATCTAATTTAGTGCATAACAAATGGAGTAATAAAGGATCTCATTCCATTGGTTTTTGCTCTAATGCTTTGATCACGCGTTTATGCCCATAATCCCATCAACAAGATTACGGAGTTTGACCGCCGACTCAGCGCCGGGGCACATTGGGCAACCATAATACCACCTTGATAAAATGTTTAGAAAGATATAAATATTTTTAAATCTTGTTTTGGCCAGATCAGATGAAGCTCTAAAAAATATTAGTGTTGATATCATAATAAAATATACTCTCGCAAAAGGATACTTATATAATAAATTGAAAAAAGGGTACATTGTTAAATTATATTTATAATAAAAATATATAGTTTATAGAATCATTTACATACAAAAACAAGTTATAGATTTTTTGTAACGATCTCGTATTATTTAAATTTAAAACGTTTTTTTAAACAGTCTTATAAATAATTCATATATGACAAGTATAGATGTAGCTTCATTTGAACAAATGTTATTTATATTCGTTCATTATATCTTTCAATAAAATTTTAAAAACAATTAAATAGCAATTAGCTATTATGTTAAAGATATTTTTCTAAAATTATTTTATAAGTTAAAATTGACAGAAAAATGATTTTTACGAAATATTTTTCTTTTTTTTTCTTTTTGACTCTTGTGAGTAAAATTATAACACTATAAAATAATATTTTTAAATTATATTAGAAAATACTATTTTGTAAATAAATGACATTTTCTTTTACAAATTTTATATCAAAAGTTTCTAAATTGAATTTTTCTGTATTCATACACTAAATATTTATTTATAACCTAAATTTATTCATTAGTCAGTTAGAGTATAGTAACATTTCAACATTACAGATTTAAATTTTAGAAAACTCTAATAATTAATTTATTTGACATAGACCTTTTCATACTTTTCCTGCTTTCCTACTTTATGTTATATATTTGTAATGATAAAAATATTGTACTGATTGTTCCATTGACTAATAATAGTTTTACAGGTAAAATCCAATGACACCATTCAGCAGTCAAAGCAGAACTTATTAACTTGATTCCAAAATTATGGTTTGGATAATAAGGAAATCATAAGTAAATTAACTTTTCTACATAGATTAAAATTGAACTATTTTTTTAACTTCTACTCAATTGGTATGCAATTTTTTATTTAAAATTCAAGTAAACATAATCTATAAAAATTAATATTAACCAAACTAAATATTTAATAAATATTAGATTAGAAGATATTTTGTAATATAATAAATAGTTATTATATTAACGTTTTTAATCTTTTAATTATTTTTATTATAGATTCTCAAAACAAATTTTCTCGTAAATTTGAAAAATTTTATTGAGACGGAGTATAGATATTCTACGTTGTGGTCATAAGAAAATAATTAAAGAAATTGCAAATACTTTGTACGCATATGTTTGTAAAAACGATCAAAAAGTAGAAATGTTGCACAACTGTTGTTTAATATATGCTGATGAACTTACAGATTTAAAGGAAAATAAGGATCTTATTGACTATTATGAAAATATGGTTTGCGATTGGAGTTATGAAGATAAAAATTTGACAACGGTACTTCGAGAAGATAACATGACTATGGACAAATAGTTGTATTGACTGGTGATACTGAAGATACAGGCCGCATCAAGGTGGATCGTTATAATTAAGATTTAAAAATATTAATGGATGACGACAGATTTATTTTAATTGTTAAAAAAATATTTAATTTGTAAAAATTATATAAAACAATAAATAGTAAAAAAATGTCTGTGTTATCTACAATATATTAGTAAATTTTTTATGAAATTTTGACACTGATTACAAATGTGTCTTTAACTTTTTTCCATCATATTTAGTTTTTGAAATAATAACTTATGAGTAATTACATATTATTTATATTATTAGAAAAACTGAAAAATAATTTTTTGTTTTTTCATTTTTCTAATAAACTTCATGATGTTAAAAACGAGTTGTGCGAAATTTGGGACTTATCCGTCAAGTATAACTATTTTTATAGATCTTGTGAAGTTCAAAAATAAAAATTGTTTATTTTACATGGCAAATTTATATAACAATGGGAAAAACGTAATAATGAAAAAAAATATACTCATGCAATTTTATTTTTCTAGGTCATTTTTTAGTAGAGTTTTTTATGGATTCAAGAAACAAATTTTTTACCTAATAATATTTTAATAGAGTATCTTAGATAAAATATTTTTTCATCTGGTATGTTATTATGACAATTCAATGAAAAACCTAAGTACAAATAGTGTTTAAAAATTGCTAAAATTATTTCTTTCAGGACAATTTTAGGATATGTTCCAGAACAATTGCGTTCTTCAGACATGCATCAAATTAAAGCTTTTAAAATGTTCTATAAGATAAAAAAAAATTTGTCCCAGCGACAGTTCTACACTATTTTTTTTTTTTTGAAAATGGCAATCCAGGAAAACAAATTCACAATTTCTTTTAAAATAATATTATTTTAAAATATAAAATATGTTTTTTAGCTTCGATGCGAAGCTGAGAAGGTATTAATTTTACTATGATGTGTTTTTTTTTTTTTTAACTAAATATTTTCACAAATAATAATAGTTAAGAATTCTTTTTTGTATTAAATTTCACATCACAATCATATCACTAAAATGAATCATTTTTGTAACATTATAGACTAAAAAATACTTTGAGAAAACAAATTACTGCGCTGATTTAAAATCTGCAATAAGATTTTTTCTATTTCCTCTTTTTTGAGATTATTACTAAAACAAGTATTTATATATAAAAAGTAAATTAATGCTACAATTGAAATATTCAATTGTAAAAACCGATAGCACAGTAGGGTCGCGGCATAGTATAGATGTGGAATATTTGGAACCAGTATAGATGATATCCTGACAGTGATTAAAATCACTGTCATAAGAAACTCTTCGATGGAAATCTGTAGGTAGTGTTTAATTTTAAGAAATTGGTCGATTATTTCAAAAGCAACAATAACTCTTATTCCTCTAATTTTATCCCGATTAGTTATTTGATTTATAATTATAATATATGAATAAATAATAATTATAGTAATTAAATATAGTATTGATATTCAATAATTTAATATTGCAATTTATACGGAGAAATTATAAAAATAATAAAGTAGTTATATATAGCTTCACTTATACGTGTATAAAAATTTAAAGGGCTTGATGCAATATTTTTCAATAAAAACTGTTTGTTACTATAAATGAATGCACTGGACTACAAGAAACTTTCATCAGAATCAATATCTAAATTTAGCTGCAAGTTTGTGACTTTTCTCAGGTTGTTGAAAAGGGAACTTAATTAATACTAATTGGCCAGGTGAGTATTTGGTTAATTAATGATTTTTATCATAATTAATCTTTTGAATGTTTTGCGCATTTTTTCTATATTCAGGTATTTTTTTTCTAACTGTTTTTAATTCTTGTAAAGATTTTTTTATGTTATAGGGTAAGGTTTCTGTTATTATTTGTAGGTAAAATGACAAATTAGCATTAAAGCCATGTAAAAAATAAAATGGTGTAAGATATTTGTGGTATATTATTGTAACTGAATATAATATATTGTAAATAATAAGACCATTTATGTTGAGCATCGTCTTTAATATAATTTCTAATAGCTTGGCAAATTACTCCATTAATTCTTTCTGTGAACCCTTGTAATTGCGGAGCATAACTAGAAGAAAATAATTGCTGAATTCCAAAGTTTTTGCAAATTTTTTTTCAAGATGTACTACCAAAATGAGTTCCTCTATCAGAAGTTATATATCTGAATACACCATATTTTGTTACGAAATTATATAACAGTATTAGCATCAGCTGATCTGGTAGCTTTTGTAAAAACATATTTAGTGCCGAACGTAAAAACTAATATATATTTTTAGCTTCGATGCGAAGCTGAGAAGGTATTGGTTTTACTATGATGTGTTTTTTTTTGTGTCTATTACCACTTTTTCTCAGCTCTCATTGAACCGATTTCTTTCAATGATACGTCAAAAGATCGTATCTAGTCGAAGACATTATCCTCAAAAATTGAAAAAATTTCCCTCGTTCCCTGTAAATGGGGGAAACCTCATTGCCATAACTTTTTTAAAAATAATCAAATCAATATAATTTATTTTTATATAATGCATGATAGTATTACCTTTCATTTGGTATAATTTTTTTATTAATCTGACTCTTTACCTGCCCACAAAGGGGGATTTAAAATGACAACTTTTTCAACTTAACTTTTGAAAGTGTTCCGGAAAGTCTGACACTTTTATATATATCTTATATTAAAGCTAATGTAATGTACTTTATTATGAAAAAAAAAATTTCGGACTTTATTTTGTCTTCACGGTGAAAATGGCTACCAAACGCTATTATTGTGTGAAAATTCTCGATTTTTTTTTTACATTTTTAGCTTTATAATGCTATAACTTATTGAAAAGTGTATAGATCAACACAATTTTTTTATGAGAAATAATATTTTTTTCTCTTTTTCATTCAGGATATTAATAAGGAAATAGCAGATCATGTAGCTTTTGGAATAATCCACCAATTTTTTTTTAATTAAACATTATCTAAAGATTTGCATCGAAGAGTTTTTTTTATAGTGATTTTAATCACTGTCAGATATCATTATAATTAATCTAACTATGCCACGTCACCACTGTGCCGCGACCCTCCTGTGCTGGGTATTTTTATTATTACTACTAATTAATGGATCAAGAAAATCTGCCGTTAGTCTATTTAAAGGTTTGCAGCATATTAATGGAATAGGTTGTAATTCTCCAGCAGGTTTACCTTGTGCTTTTTTATTTATTTGGCATTAATGGCAGGTTTTAATAAAGTTTGTTACATCGTTTATTAGATTGGGCCAGTAATATTTAATTTGTATTTTCTTTATTGTTTTAGTGATTCTCATATGTCCTGACATAGGTGGGTTATGATATGCTGAAATTATATCTTCTTACGAAAATTTGTGGTATTACAATTAAATCTTTGATATTTTGTTTCGAAATAAATTGTTTAAAATATAATATGTCATATTTAATTAGAAATCTCCTAAAAATTTTACAAAATTTATTAGTTACATTATCTCCATTTTTTGTTTTAACTATTTGTTGACAAAATGGATCGTCTTTTTGTCTATTAATTATATCAATATTTTTTAATAATGGTCCGAATCTATGATATTTAATAGTTATATCATGGATGTCATCACAATTATTAGCAATTTTATAATAATTATTATTAGATGAATCGTCTTTTTTAGGAATTAAACAAACTATTGGTTTAATATAATTATTATTTTGTGAATCACTATTCGACTCGAATCTATTAAGTTTATGGTCGCAGTTTGACTTACAAATTCGTAATTTGTAATATTATTATTGTAACTCATAGGGTCGAACCTGGACGACTCTCCACTGAATCTTTTGTTAATTTGTTCACTGTATTTTTTATATTAATTAAGTATCAACTCATTAAAGTCCTAAGTCAATTATAAGTGTAAATATATTTTTAAACATAATAAATAGCAACTAATTATCAAACGCATTATCTCTTCATTTTGTCTACCGTACCAACCCAGTCACAACATTTTTTGGCAGCGGTGTGATCAACATTTATTTTCTACTGGAGAATCAATTACAGTCAACATTCTACTTTATTTTTCCGTGTTTCTTCAGTAAGTGTTGACACGATACCCACGTGTCCACGAGGTACGTTATACAAAAAATTTTATTAATCCAGTGCGTTCTAGTAATTTTTAATTACTATTTTTATTTTTACTTTTTGTATATATCGTGTTTTTTTTTAATAAACAAAATTTCAATATTTCGAAAAGTAAATCCGATAGTGACACAAGGGCGGGTTTGTGCAAACGTCGCACATTCTTTGAATAGGCGTTTCTAGCTGTATCGTATTCGTCAATCAAGGCCGCCAACTGTGTAGCACCTACACTCGCATCCGTCTCTGGTTAACTGTCAGAAATTTTACAAGTGCGACAACCGGTTCTGACGACATCTAGTGAATACATTTTTTATCGAAAAATCCAAACCGTGGATAACGCGCACTCTAGAATATAGTTGCCACACCCATACGCTGTTGGTACGCGCTCTATCAAAAAAAAAAAGTTTTTTTAAATTTACAAAACACCTTCGTTATCGTCAGACTACTATGCCATTTTATTACTGTACGAAGGAGACCAGTTGATCCGGCCGTCATCTCCACTAATCATTACCGGCGTATTAATCATCAACAATAACAAGAAAGCAAATAAACAAGAAGTGTTTATTTTATTATTATTATTTTTTTTACTACGTTCAAAAGAAGATTATTTTCATTCACTATTTCAACTCAAGGGAATCATATCATTTACCGTGTCATTTCAAGGAAGTTATTTCAATTGAAGGAGATGTTTTCATTCTCTCACTCGTCATTTCAAAAACTAAGTCATGCAGTTATTCTACGTTAATCCAATTCATTCAACTTCAACAACGTTGTTTTTTCTAATTCAATGCAATTGTGTATCTCGCACTGTAAGTAACCATACATATGTTTTGTTTTTGAATATTACAAACAAAAAATATGTGCTTAATAGTAAGGTTGGAATAACTGATATATTTCAATTTAAAATTTTCTTTTTCAACTCATGTATAAGAATATTTAATTTAAATTTTATTCTTTTCTTTGAATTCTTAGTACTCTTTTTTTTTAATGCAGACTATTTTAGTTCTTGATAAAAGTGCAATATAAGTCATAATAATTT